GCGTCAGTGGTCCCAGTTTTCAAAAAGGGTAGTAGAAGGGACATGGGGAATTACAGACCTGTTAGCCTTACGTCCATTGTAGGAAAAACAATGGAAAGGCTCATAATAGCGAGAGATCTAGTGATGCTAGATAGGGAAGGGAGGCTGATAGCCACACAACACGGCTTCCACAAAAACAGGTCCTGCCAGACAAACCTTGTGGAATTCTATGGCAAGGTTTCGAGGTGGCTAGATGGAGGGGATGCAGTCGATGTGGTATACCTGGATTTCAGCAAGGCCTTTGACAAAGTGCCCCATGATATCCTGGTGGAGAAACTGAGGAGTTTTGGGATACACCAAAGCACTGTCCGGTGGATTAGGGCATGGCTGACTGACCGAAAGCAGAGGGTAACCATTAGTGGGGAACCATCGGGATGGCAGCCAGTGACAAGCAGGGTCCCCCAGGGCTCTGTCCTGGGGCCGATCCTGTTTAATCTTTTCATCAATGACATGGAAGAAGGGGTGAACAGTCTGCTGATCAAATTCGCAGACGACACTAAAACTGGGGCAGTGGCCACAACTGAGGAGCAGGTACTCCAGATCCAAAAGGATCTGGACAGACTATAGAAGTGGGCAGGAGACAACAGGATGGCATTCAATGTGGACAAGTGCAAGGTCTTGCACTTGGGGCATAGGAATAGGTGTCCTAAGTATAGGTTATGGGACAAGTGGCTGGAGAGCAGCACCTGTGAAAGGGACCTCGGGGTGCTGGTTGACTGCAGGCTAAACATGAGTCAGCTGTGTGATGCGGTGGTCAAGAGGGCGAACACCACCCCTGTTTGCATAGCCAGAAGTGTGGCTTCTAGATCGAGAGAGGTATTACTACCACTCTACACGACTCTGGTGTGCCCACAATTGGAGTATTGTGTTCAGTTTTGGGCCCCTCATTACAGAAAGGATATAGCCAGGTTGGAGTCAGTGCAGCATAGGGCCACAAGGTTGGTGGCCGGTTTGCAGGGGATGCCATATGAGGCGTGACTGAGGGAACTGGGTCTCTGCAGCCTGGAGAAGAGGAGACTCAGAGGGTATATGTTGGCGACATGCAGGTATGTGAGGGGATGTCACATGGAGATGGGTAGAGACCTGTTCTCCCCTGCAGAGGAAGGCAGGACGTGCTCCAACAGAGCCAAGCTCAGGGAGCCAAGGTTCCCTTTGGATGCCAGGAAGCACTTCCTGACAGTCAGGACCCCAAGGGTGTGGAATGGGTTTCCACGAGATGTTGTTGAGGCCCCATTGGTGCGGGTGTTCAAAGATAGGCTGGACGTGCACATGGTGGGCATGTTGTGGTGCCGGAGGTCAGACTAGATGGACCGGGAGACCCCTTCTGACTCGCTGTTTCTATGTTTCTATGTCTCTGCAGAATAGGGTTGAGGGCGCGTGGCCCTTTCCTGCCCTCCCAGAGCCTGCAAAATGCTCAGGTGCACAACCAGCAGCTAAGCCCCGACTCTAAGCCTGCTGGTGCTAAATCTTGGGGGGGGGGGGGAGAAAAGGTGTGCTCCCCCCTCCTGCAATCCGTGAGAGGCTTCAGAGGGGGGAGGCATATGCGGCGACATTTTGCTGCTGGCCTCACTCGTTCTGTTTACAAGTGAACACGCGATTGGCACTGCTTTGCTGAATTTTCCTTTACTTCCTGAGAATGAAGAAACGGAGCAGTTTCGGAGCAGGCTGGCCAAGTTTGCCCTGGCTTCAGGGAGTTACGACCGGGCCAGAATGTTCTCATTCTTTGTTCTCATTGCAGCATGCCCCCCCGCTCTCTGCGCATCCTCCAGGTCACCCTGCTTCCTTCCTCTGCAGGCAGCCCTTGCTAAGCCTCCGTCCCCTCACCTTTTCACTTCCAAATCAGGAAAAGAGCTCGTCAGTCTGACCCTGGCTGCACAGCAAGAAGCACACGCACAACCCCCCAAGCCACACTGCCGGCAAGTGTAAACCAGGCCCTTGCACAGGAGGCGGTGTAAAGAAAATGAGAAGGACCAAACGCTAGACCAAGGGAGCCCGCGTCTGGAGTATCACGTGCATGTCGCAGGCACCGGAGACCGGAGGCGGCGCCTGGGCGAGAATGCCGTGCTGGGTGGGGCTGGGACAGAGAAAGAGGCCATGCTCAGCTGTTCATGCAGCGGAGAAACTGCTCTGCCAGGAGCATGCTTGGCAGCCTTAGGCAAGCCACTCACTCTCAGCCTCTGGTCCACCCCTGCAATGTGGGACATTATGCTACCTTCTGGAAGGATGAGAACATGGGTCCTCAAACTATGGCCCGCCATGCCCATTTATCCGGCCTGCCTTTTAATTATGTGAGCCCAGGGGCAGCCAGGCCAGGGGCAGCCAGTCCCACGCCCACCGCCACCTCTCAACTGGCCCCGCTGAAAAAGTTTGAGGACCCCTGGATTAGAAGTGCGTGATCTGCTTTGTACCCAGCAGGGAGCGGCACGGACGCATGTGGCTCATACCGACTGCGCTGCCCGAGCTGCCCAGAGCGGGTTGGTCACTCGGGCACGGAAGAGAGGGCCCCGATTCCTCGGCCAAAGCAGGAAGGCAGGAGCCAGGTCTGCCCGTCTGCTGTGCCACAAAGGACAGGAAGCAACTCTGATCAGGAAGCGGGTAAGGCAGCGCAGGCAGTGCAACATCGGCCACGGCAAATTCAGCAAGCGTGGAAAGATGTTTTGCGTTCTGTCACGGTCCGGGGCCTGGGCCACTGGAGTTGGGGCAGATGGCCAGGGCAGAGCCCCGAGAGGCCGCAGTCCCGTGGCGAAGCGAGGGGCAGGGTCTCAGCCAAGGAACAGGCCGAAGCCAGGAGGCAGGAGCATGTTGCGGAACCGGGACGCCCACCGGAGCAGGGTAACTCGGTGGGATGCGGTGGTGGAGGGGCGGCGGCCAAGGAAAAGCAGGGCAGGGCAGGGCAGGGCAGGATGGCCGGCTGGATCCAGGTGCTGGCCCCTCAACGGCAAGCAGGAGGCCTTCTTGCTGGGCAGCATTTGGAAGACGCCCAGCAGCTCCTGGGACCGATCCCGCAACTATTCGGATTCCCTGAGCTGCCCAGGTCCCGACGCTTTCTCTCAAGCGTGCTCATTTTCTAGTCCAAGATGCATTCTGTCCCAGCGGGGCCTTGGGGAAACTTACACATTTATGATGCCATCAGATGGGGGCAGGCAAAGGGGTGCCAGAAGGCGCTGCAGCCGAGGGGACGTGCCCCTGCCCCTCCCGGGGGACAGTGCACACGTGCACTAGGAACACAGAGCAGCCAACTCTGGGCTCTGCCGGGGCACCACGAGCAACAGCGGCACCACAGTAGGGCTGCTTAAGGCCTGCCACTGTACAAACACAGCTTTAGACTTAAGATGGGGTTCCTGACCCAATCCGGAATCCACGTTGCAAGCTTTGCTTCCCACGTACACTTTCGAATGCTAAAGCCCGTCCTGGAAGGCCTAACCCCAACCCTACCCCAGCCAGGACAGGGCAAAGATCACTTTCCCAGAGAGCTGCGCCACTCAGCAGGGTGTGCTGCTGGCAGGTCACAAAAGCCCCTTGCCCAGGCCTCCCCCCGGCTGCTCTTGAGCCGCCCCAGGTCGCCCCTTTCGTGCAGGGCTAGGAAGCCAAGGGCCTACCAGCAGGGTTCATCTCATGTGGTTTATTTCAGTCACACACTCAAATGGGAAATAATAGGTAACTAGAAACATTCTGAAACTTTCAGCGAGTGTCATAAATACACAAAACTCCACATCACACTGTGCTTTTGAAATACACTAAGATTACTTCACAGTATCAGCAAACTGGCAACAATGCAAGTTAGAAGCACAGTGACAGCACGCAATGGAAATAAGCATCGAGCATCACAGTTTGAGGTGAGCATGGGCCCCTGTGAACATTTTATCCTAAAAAAGATTTCTCCATCTCACAATTAGCAAAATACCAGGGTAAGGAAAATATATATTTCTGCTCTTTGCAATATTGGATAAAAGCCCAGCAAAAATGGCCCGAGCACTTTGGAACTTGGGCTGGGGCCACACCACTGTTTGGTCCATGAGTGACAAAGATGGAAAGTCCTGACATTCAGAAAACGTCATATTTCCAACATGCGAGGAAATTAGGCTCAGCCAATCAGGCAGGCGACCTCCAGAGAACAGCGTGTTACTCCGTATCTACAGAGCTAGTCCCCTGCGGGGCTCATGGAATGATTTCTTTTAAAGCGAAAGCCCTTTTCTACCCGTAGTAGGTGGTACCTTCTATCAAAAGTCGATTATGTCTAAAACCCTTTCTCCATGAATTTTATAGCAACTCTTCAAAACGATAGCAAACGGCAACATGGACGCCCCTGCTGTGAATCAGGACTGCGTGGACGTTTCTTCCATTAGAAAAAAGGACGCCGAGTAGAAGGCCGTTCCCGCCCCGCAGAGCCGCACGACGTCCTGCATCACGTCGCGATCTTGGCCCCATCCTGGCTCCCCCCGGCCCCACCCCCAAAATGGTGAGAATGGTAATCTGCGATGTCTGCTTTCTGGTCCACCTCCAGAAGTTCTGGGCCAGCATTCCTGGCCACTGGCCGGGCCAGCCAAGCTCCTGGGCACTGAAGTCCCAGGTATCAGAGGCTGCTCGTCAGCAGCTCAGGCGAGGCTTTCTTACAACTCTCTCCTCCCACTTGGAGCGTTGGGCACTCTCTATGAAACAAAAGTCGGAGAACGGTTTTTATGCTATCACATATCAAGTCCTCACAGAACAATGAAAAGAAATGGCTTTTGTTGTTGTTTGGCTGTTCAGCTGCAGCCAACTATAAGCGATCGCATGGGCCAAGTCTTGCCACACTTTCCGATCCAGTGCCACCTCTTTCAGCTGAACGATGCTCCGGCCCACGTCCTCTTCGCTGGAGTCTGACCACTCTGCTCTTTGGCGACCTGGTTTTCTCTTGCTGCTGAGCATTGCAAGCATTTATCTTTCTCACGTGGTCAAAATACGTGAGTCTCAGCTTTGCTATCTTGCCGACCAGGGACGCGTCTGGCTTAATATGCTCCTCACCGGCTTGCTCGTCACCCCCGCTGTCCATGGAATGTGCGGGAGCCTCCACCAACACCCCAGCTTGAACGAGTCGATTTTCCTCTTGTCCAGCTTCTTCATTTCACAACCGTAGGTTGCAATAGGAAAATGATCACTCAGTTTATACTATTTGTACAAATTCACTATTTGTAGAGATAGGGCCAAGTTTAAATAGCTACACTCGTGGGATAGCGGTGCTGGACTGGGACTCAGGAGATTCTCGCCCCTTCCTGGCTACGGAGCTCACTGGGTCATTCCAAGCCAGTTTCAGCCTGAGCTACCTGGCACCAGTGCGGTGCAGATGAACTGCAGAAGAGGCACCTCATCTAAGCTGCCCTGCATCCTTTGGAGGGAAGGTGGATATAAAAGAATAAGGAATAAATGCGTAAGAAAAAAGCACGCAATCCACAGATAACGTCACACTGGATTTTCTAATACTGAAATGTCTCTCTCTCACTCACTACTGGAAAAAGCCTGTGCAAATTTTTCAATTTCAGTCTATATTTTTTAAGGGATTCAAAGTTTATCTTCAGGGTACCCTCTCCATAGGGAGTCACTGCCTGCAGAACACTGTCTCTCCCCTGTGGAACCCTACAGCATTGCAAAGGGTTTGGGAAATACTATGGGGCAGAGATGCTTGCCCCACAAAAAAATGCAAAAGGCAAGGAAGAGGGCACCCTAACAAGCGAGAGCCATACCTGGAACACCCCCCAGGCTGGAGGTAGCGCAAACACAGTGGACAAGCTGCTGTTCAGGGATGCTAACTTGCCATCCCATCATCCTACAAAGGTCCAGTGCACACTTTTAAACACACCGCTCTAAGGAAGGGCAGGATCAGGCACGGAGACAAACGGGTGCAAAGCAATCAGGTAGTGTCCGGGAAACTCACACCTCCCTGCCAGCATGACCGTCGCTATCAATGTTACCGAGCAAGGCACCTCACTAGACACAACCCAGGGCATGATGAGCCAGGAGAAGGCCTACAATTCCCAGCATTCCCAGGCAGCAATGCGAAACAAACAAAAAAGGTGTAAACATACATTGGCCTGCCTCATGCAGTGAGCTAATGAGCTCACTCAGGAAAACAGGCCGGTCTCGTTACATTTGAAAAGTGAGAAATTCTGATGGCTCTCTGTAGACTTTGGGGTGGAGGGAGCAAACGCTGTTGATGACAATGGAAAATGCACAGACAAGTACACGATGCTCAGTTCGTGCATTCTGAGAAGAATCTGGAAAGATCCCTGCCCCGTCTGTGTCAGACCCAGTAACCCCGTGCAGCTGCAGCTGCTTCTCCCCCGGAGCATATTAGAAAATGACAAGCTTCCACTGAAGGGATTCCAGACAAGACAGGAATGATCGGGAATATATACTAAGGAACGTGCAAGCAGCTCATGAAAGTTATTCCTGAATATTTGAAAAAAAACAGCCACCCTGAAGCAGCTAACATTGGAGACTTTTGACAGCCAGCTCTGAACCTTGTAAAATCCATTTACAAAATGCAGCTTCCCCACAAAGAGCCGACTACTTCAGCAGCCACTTGGGGCCGTGCTGGGACACTGACTTGCCAGCTGGGTGGGTGGGGGGACTTCTTCATTTGTCCGCCCCCTGCAGCTTCCTGCGCAGGGTCCAGACCTGCTCCAGAAAGCCAGGGGCTTCAAGGGCAGGGAGATGAAATCCATCCCCCCGGATGCGACCCACGGAACAGGGCATCTCTTCCGTAAGAGGAGCCCTCCTGGATGAAGCCAAAGGCTGACTGAGTCAGGCATCCTGGTCAGATGCTTCTAGGAAAGCCACGTCAAGGGTACGCATGGAGCTCAACTGCCCTGAATCCTGGAGTTCCCGCATTGGCATCGTGCTAAATAGCCACCAGTAAGCCTCACCCTCCCTGAATTCAGCTAAACCCCTGAAAGATATCATATCTTCTAGTGGTGGATCGCAACACACCAGAAAGCTAGTGGGCAATGCTGCAAAGAAAAGGAAGAAGAGGGCATGTGACCCAGAATATGCAACAGCCCTAGTCCACTTCCGTCAGGAACTTCTTCACCAACTCCAGCAGTACTTGAAGCCATTTTTCTGCTTTCTGCACAGGGGCCAGATTAAATGCAGTTATGGCCATTTGTCCAGGAAGCATCAATCCTTGTTCATGGCATCACCCTTACGTACTCAACAGCTGCAGAAATGCAACAGATGATTTTCCTGGATTGGAGATTCAGTGACGAGGGAAGAGCCACCTATTGAGTTTCTGCTCTCACCATGGAAAATGCAAAAGATCCTGCCAGAAAAAGGACGTGACAGCTTAGAAAAGGAACATTTTCAAGGGCAGTGGTGCAAAGTTGCGACCCTGAACAGGCCAGACTGTTTAACTGCTTCAGCTTTGGGGTCTTCCTTTTTTCTGCTTTCCTCCGAGATTCTGCGAAAATCAGGCTTTTGTGCACCACCACGAGATGCCCATGATCCACGTCTGCTGTCATCATCATGGGCTCTAAGAGTAAAGCAAAGGTCCAGCACAGAATGAAGACTTGACAGACACCCAGCCAGCTTCCCCCCCTACTCTTCATGGCCGGATCCTTTCCTTCCTCCCAGAGGCAGCACCTTCCTGGACCAGATGGGGCTTCCCTGGCAGCTCTGAATGTCCCGGCCAGGTCTGAGGCCAATTTGCTCTGGAGAGACAGGCCCGGGGAGGGAGCTGGCGAATGAGGCCTTTGGCTTCCTGCAGGTTCCTCTCCATCTTCTGCGAGAGCAGCAATTTCGGTGGACTCCCAACCCGCTTCCTCTGAAGAGGTCTCCTTGAACTCAGGCCAGATGGGATCCCAACTGATCACTTCACTGCAGTAAGGGCTCAAGCCAACCTGCATCTGAGGGCCACATGCACCAAGCAGGGGCCCTTGATCAAGAGGGGTGCACCTGACACATGAAGCCACCCCATGGTTTGCAGAAGGGGGACCTGCGCTCCGCCTCTGCCCCCCCGCTGAGCTCCCAGCCTCCCTCACAGCAGCCCTCACCTGGCTGTCCCCGCCCTGCTCTGACCGCTACCTGCTTGCGCTGCCCCCATTTGCTGTTTGGAGCCTCAAAAGAACAGTTTGGGTTGTTCCGTTTTCCAGCCCGACAGTGGCACAAGTTGGGCGTTCCGGCTGTGAAAGCACGGCGGGCCAGCATGCAGGCCAACCCCTGCACAGCTGCCGGAGACTGGAAAACACCGGGCGCGCGTGCGGCACCAGAAGGGGCGCCCAAATGGGGTGGGGGCATGATTTCCATTTCGCAGTGGAATCCTCTCAGCTTTTAATGCTGGACCCGTAGTACTGCTTCCCTTTAATGCTTCTTCAGCTCTCCAGCCACTGCGGACAGCGGGTGGATTCATTCCCCTTCCCATGCATTTCAGAGCACTTGTGGGACTGTGATTCCCCACGAGTTCAAAAAAAAAAACCCACCCACAGAAATGTACGTAAAAAATGCACATCCAGTGAGTGGGAAGTGAATGGAGGAGAAGCTGGTGCACCAGCAGTAACTGCTCCATTCCTGCAGATGTGCAAACTGAGGACTGCACTGCTGGGGGCAGACTCTCCCCACCCCTTTTGGTGCCCCTTCTGTTGCGTCTGCCCCCTCGTGAAAGACCCAAAACTAATAATAGTAAATTAGGGCCCTAGCTGCACATTTCTGGGGCCCTGGAAAAGGAATCCGCGCGAAGAGGGACAGACGGTCCCCCCAAAGCGCCCTCTCGGCAGTGGAGGGAGGCCGGCCACTTCTGCGCACACGAAGGCGAACTGCAGTGGGTCAGCCACTCTCGACTGCTCTGCACCTTCCCAAAGACCTGCAATGAAATTGCTGAGCCGGGTTCAAAAGCCTCAAGTTACCGTGGCCGGCAGCAACGCTAGAAGAAGCCACGGGTTCTCAGGGCTGTTTGTCCATGGGAAACAAGCCACCCTGCAGAAAGCATGCTCAGTCTGGTGGCATACAAAACTGGTCACAATCAACAGTGCCCCCCAGTGGTGAGAGCTACTGGTCATAGCTACAGTATCGGGCAATACAGACAAGTTTGTTTTAAAAATATGCATAACATAACCTCCACATTCAGGGATCTGCACAAATTCTGCTTGCAAGACATATTTGCAAAACTGCTCATGGCACACACTTAGGTGCAAAGTTTTCCATTTTTGGCAAAATTCACAGGAAGTGGCTACTGAGGGTTAGGGAAGATACTACAGAAGCAAGGAGACAAGGTTGGCATGCAACACAGGAGCCCCTCACACAATCCCCTTGTAAGGCACATTTTCAGCCACTCTTCTAACCACGAGGACTAGATGCTTCCTTCCCTAATATAAAGGATAAAGCCAGAAAAGAGGGCCCCAGTTTCTGTGTACTTATATGCCTGCTGGTGACTGTGCAGTGGGTCTTCAGGCACTAGCCAGGAGCCGGAAAACAGGACAATCGCACTGCTGTGGGTGGAAGCCGTGGCTTGGCATGCGCCAGTTTAAAGCCTTATGCATGGGGAAACGAAGGGTGACAGTCTCTAGAGCATTGCAGTCATCGGGTCTAGAACATTTTTCTTTTTAAAACCTTACGACCTGCAGGAAGTGGTACTGCCAGACTGATAAAAGCGGGGTCTGTTTTAACTCCCAAGCAACCCTGCAAATGCATCCAAAAGGCAAGTGAGGGCAAGGGTCAGCTGGGAAAAGGGAGGGGGGATTCCTGGGAGACAAACCGAGAGATCTTCCTCGTCTCTTTCTTTCACCGATTCCTTCCCTTTGGTGGCGAAGGAGCAGGTGCAGGAGGGCATCCAGCACATCTTGTCCCGCGGACTGGAAGAGACAAAGGTGGCACAGGGAAGGGGACCACCATGGCTAGGGCCAGAGCCTTCTGCGGGGCCACGTCTGGCCTGCCGCATCCGGCCAGCTGCGGCGTCTGACCCACGACGCCCGCTGCCGAAAAAGCACTAGCAGGAGGGCAGGGCTCTGGGAAAGCTGGGAGACCCGCGGAAGCCCGCTCCAGGCTGGGATCGCCAGCCTCCTGCGGGCATCTCTGCGGACCGCGGTCGCTCTCCTCAAGGCACCGGCCTGGGCAGTGTCCGCGTCAGGGTCTGTCGGGAGCCATGGCGCACAAAGGGGCCGCTGCTCTTCTCCTGGGGCGCCGTGGCCTCTCACGCCGAAGCCCAGTCTGCCAGCCACTGCTCGCACGAGGCCTGCGGCTCCTCTGCTTCGCAGCCATCGACCGCCCGGGGGGTTGCCAAACTGGAGCTGCTGAGCGTACCCTCTTGACTCTCCTCCGCTGCCGCTGAAGACTCGTCTTTCAGGCCCTGGATCAGTTCGTCCAGCTGGTGCGTGACGCGCTGAGGGACCCAGTTGCTGTCCAAGGTGGGGACGAAGGGATCCGGGGCACTCACCTCGATCCGTTCCTTGCTGGTCGGGATGCGCAAGTAGTAGGCGTGCAGCATCATCCGGTAGGGGCCGCTGTCCGTCTTGAAGCTGTATGTGAAGTCGCCCACTACCGGGTGCCCAATGGCGCTGCAGTGGACCCGGAGCTGGTGGGTTCTTCCTGGGAGGAAGAGAAGCACCTGAGAGCCTGAAATTGCTTTCAGGACCTGGACAGACCGCGGAAGTGGGCAGGGGACCCAAGGATGGCGTTCCATGTGGACGGGTGCAAGGCCTTGCGCTTGGGGCACAGGAATGGGTGTCATAAGTATAGGCTAGGGGACAAGTGGCTGGAGAGCAGCACCTGTGAAAGGGACCTCGGGGTGCTGGTTGACTGCAGGCTGAACATGAGTCAGCCGTGTGATGTGGTGGCCAAGAAGGCAAACGCCACCCTTGGTTGCATAGCCAGAAGCGTGGCTTCCAGACTGAGGAAGGAATTACTGCCGCTGTACACGACTCTGGCGCACCTGCAGCTGGAGCACTGTGTTCAGTTCTGGGTCTCTCATTACAAGAGGTACATAGCCAGGCTGGAGTCAGTGCAGCACAGGGCCACAAGGACGGTTGCAGTTTTGCAGGGCAAGCCATATGAGGAGAGACTGGGGGAACTGGATCTCTTCAGCCTGGAGGAGACTCCGAGGGGATCTGTTGGCATCATACAGGTACGTGATGGGCTGTCATGTGGAGGTAAAGACCTATTTTTCCCTGCGGAAGATGGCAGGACATGTTCCAGTGGAGCAAAGCTCAGGGAACCAAGGTTCAGTTTGGATGCCAGGAAGTACCTCCTGATGGTTAGGACCCTGAGGGTATGGAATGGGCTTCCATGGGGGGTAGAAGGTGTCACCCTTCGGTGAGGGTGTCCAAGGACAGGCTGGACATGCACATGGTGCACATGTCGTGAGTGGAGCTGGCTGGAGTCGGGGGTCAGACTAGATGGCCCGGGAGGTCCCTTCCGACTCACTCTGTTTCTATATGTTTATGGCTTGATGTTATATTATCATATCGTATTATTGGATGTTGACTTTGGCAGAGCAGTAAAGAAATGGAATCGACAGAGTGCTCTTTTAGCCTTTGCTCAAGCCAGATGCTGCTGGTAATCCATGTACGGTCACACCTGCACTTTGAATACAGGAGGTTACTTCTACTTTTTATTTGTATTTTTATTCCTATTTTGTTTTTATTTCATTGAATACAACAATTTAACTAATTCACTGATTAAATGGAACATTCTAAAAGGCATTTAATAACACATTTGTATTTCATTATGTGAATTATTTAAAGAAATGTTAAAATTATTACTTAAGATACAAGAGGCTAAAGCACAATAGCAGAATACAGTGATAATGGACATATTAATGTGTTCATTTAAATTAAGTAGTCACATTTCTAACATTTATCATTTGAACTAAACTCTGCAGTTTCCCTCTCACAGCCCACATGAGACCACATAACCAACATATAACAACAATCATGTGTTATTTTTTTAAAGTCTACAGTTTAGGGTTGTCATTTTCAAATGACATTTGTGAAAACACCAGTTCTCACCGCTGGCAGTGCACACGGGTCAACCCTGACCTAAAGGCTGAGAGCCGGGGGAAGCCGACAGACGTTTCCCACGGCAGGGCAGGGCAGGGCAGGGCAGGGCCAGCTGCCCCACGCTTCCTCCCGCTTGCCCTTTACCTGTGAGCGGCTGCAGGAGCACCTTGGTCACGGGGTCGCCGCTATACAGGCCGTGCTCAAGTACAGTCAGCTCCGACTGGCAAGGTTTGGGGTTTTCACAACCTGTTTTTTTAAAAAATGGAATTACTACAGCTGTAATATTTATCGTGCATTTCCCTAAGTTCTCAAATAATTTATCCTGTAGCCACCAAGGTATACTTCTTTACTGCTCTCTGCTGGACATACATGCTCACAAATATAGAAAGAAACACAGCAAGTCAGAAGGGACCTCCTGGGCCATCTAGTCTGACCCCCAGTTCCAGCCTGCTCAACACATGTAATCCCCAACACGTGGTTGCCCAATCTTTCCTAGACCACCCTCATGATGGGGCCTCCACCACCTCCCATGGAAGCCCGTTCCACACCCTCGGGGTCCTAACCGTCAGGGAGCGCTTCCTGGCATCCAACCTGAAGCCTGGTTCCTTGAGCTTTGCCCCACTGGAACACGCCCTGCCCTCCACTGCAGGGAAGAGCAGGTCATGGCCGTCCTCCACATGACAGCCCCTCACAGATGTATAAGTTGCTAGATATCCCCTCGGAGTCTCCTCTTCTCCAGGCTGAAGAGACGCAGTTCCCTCACTCGCTCCTCTTAGGGCATCCTTCCCAACCCGGCCACCATTCTGGCGACCCTGCGCTGGACCGATTCTAACCAGCCGTGTCTCTCCCGTATCGTGGAGCCCAGAACTGGATGCAGCACTCCAGTTGTACTCTGGGCCAGAAAGGCGAGGACAGCCTACCCTCGGTGCCTTCAATGCACATCATGTGGGTCAGGCCCTCCACTGTATTCTTCCCAATCGCATGCCGGATCGTCATCTTCATTTCCTGAACGTGGCCCCGCACCTGCCAAGCAGAGGAATCATTTTGTGACATGTTAGGAAACATCAGCCTGTTTTCCCAATGGCAGAATGGGAACACTCAATCTAATGCACCCATGTCTGCAGAACTACCACAGAAATGGGTGTACTAGTAGAGATTTCCACATGCCGAGCAATTTGGAATCTCTTCACTTGGTCCTTGTTCTTGCAGCAAGATGCTCTGCTATCAGAGATGTGGAGGACCGACCTGAAGCTGCAGAGGAAGAAAAAGCACCTTCCTTCCAAGAATCATGCACTCTGCAAGAAGGGATTTTATTCCAGGCCGCAGATTAGCCTGGCTACCCAGTGACCAGGCCATGCCAATCTCTCTCCATCCCTAGAAATTGGGAAATGTGTAATCTGCTTTACATTTTGGCCTGAGAAGGCTCCGCTGCAGATCAGGCTTGCTTCCTGCGGCTCTTTGTCTCTCACGCTACCCAACAGATCCATAACTAAGAGGTGTGCGCCTGGCCTAGTTTTGCAGGTGCAGATCTCCACCTGCATTCTTGCACATGGGCGGCAGGGCACCTGATGAAAGGGGAAGGTGGTCAGAAGGAGCTGGAAGATGGAGGCACACATGCCTCGTCTGCCTGTGTGCGCACAGGGCCTCTTTCGTCCTCCAGCCATCCCATGCACGCACACCGGACCATGTGCACAGTCCACAGTGACACACTGCAAATAAGGAATAATGCAACGAGTCCAGTGCCTCTGGACACCAGATGAAAGCAAGCTACTTCCCAAAGTCTCCCCTTTGAATATCACCACTGCCATGAGCTTGCTAGGTGGTCTTAGGCCGTATTAGCATTATGCCGACAGTAATTCCTTCTTATTTTGCAGCAGCTGCTCAGGTGTAGAAGAAAATGTATGCAACTTGAGTTGAACTTTTGGAACTACTGTATCAGGGAATTCTTGTTATATTCTTGTTATTGTTATTGTTACCATAGACAATCAGAGAATATGCAATTGGTTTTGTAGGCAGAGGCTAAAAATGAGGAACGACCATTCCCACGCCCTGCCAAACCATCCAGTCATCTTCCCAGGGCTTCCAAGCATCTGCCGCTTCCCAACTGCCGCAGGCTGGAGATCTCCAAAGACACCCAAGACACACAGGAGAAGCCCACGGGCGGCCTGCACAGGGCCACTGCCTTCCTCCTCCTGTGTTCCTGTGATTCTGGTTGTTGTGCACATGAACCGAGGGCCCTCGGCGCACCCGCCTGCTCTAAGCGGCCACGCTCAGTTCCCGCAAGGGGCAGCCCAAGCCATGTCACTGCTAAAGCGCACAGGCTAAAGAGTTCTGCATCATAACTAAATGATTTAGCGCGTTAGAGCATTCCCCAGGGACCCTCAGAAAATTCCTGATGCAAGCACACACCAAACGTTTTCCGATTTAAAATGCTCCAGGAAACCCACCTCCTGGTACTCATACAAGCATTTCTAGACGTCCTCCAGAGACTTTTCGCCATGCAGCTCATTCTGCTCTGCCTCATAAGGCTGACTTTCCATTCTACTTCCTTCTCTAATGGTGAAACCTCGAATGGGCAACATCTTCCACCTGGCAAACACCTAGAAGCGACCCCAGAAGCAAAGGTGAAGCCCCTTACTAGTGCCAGGTAGGCCTTTGTTACCAGCCGGTCCTTGAAGCACTTGTACGCATTGCCAGCAGCTGCCTTGTTGAGCGCAACACAAAGGGCTCCGCTGGTGGAGAAATCCAGCTGGTGGCAGAACCTAGAAGAGCAAAAGCGGACACCTGTGAGGCGCTTTCACCAGTACCTGGAGACCGGAACTGCTTAATGAAATGGCGGGTGCGCCTGCTCAGCCCACGACTTACCGCCCAGAGTCCCTTGCCAGTTCCTAGTTTTCAGATTTCAAAGTATTTCTATATTCATGGAAGTATTTTACAGCCATTAAAACAAAACCAACGGCGATGAAAATATGAAAAGACATAACCAAGACAGGCAGAACAAAGCTGACGGAAAACAGAACAACACTGAGCCAGCCAGAGCCGCTCTCAGTCCTCCCGACCTGGTGCCCTCCAGGTATGTTGGAATACAGCTTCTGTCACACTTGGCTTCTCCCAGAGCCATGGGCCAAAGGCGGCCCAAGCGCCACCCCTTTTCGCACACGCGTGTCTTGCATGAGGGCGGAATGTGATGCAAAAGCTCCCCACACACGGTCCCCCTCCTCCCCTCACAGCCACTCACCGGAACCCGTAGTAGGTGTCTGGATCGGCGAGCTCCGGGAATCGGTATTTCAGCTGCCTCTGAAGCGTGAGCTTTTCGTACCACATCTTGCTGTCGATCCGGACGTCCCAGTGCTTGTTCACCACAATGAAGTCTGCACTTTGGTACAGGATGGAGAGGTTATCGATACTCACAGGCTCCATCGCGACGGGCCTTCCGGAGAAGATGTTCTTTGTTTCTGAAACAAAGGGCTTTCTGGGCAACACCAGAAAAGTTTTGAGCAGTTATATTATTCCATGGGAGCAGAAAATCACTCTTTGAGTGTTTGCCGGTACTGTGTTACTTCACACATTCTAGGACTCTCAAGTGAAATCAACTTCCAGAATTAAGGTCTAGCTCAACTTAGTCCTGCATACCATCCTGTGTTCAGGGACATTTAAGTGAGAACTGCTGTAAGCAGAGTGGCTACAAACAGAATCCGGGGCATGTTTAATACGAAAAGGAGTGCTGTAAGAATCCGCACTCTTCTGGCCAGCCACTGGCAGTGGCATAAAAATGAAGGACTATTTTCTGTTGATATGTGTATAGGTCTGCACCCTAAAAGGCTGAGCTGCCCATAATAAAGAAGCCAGTTTAATTCTCACCTCTGCTCCAAATTCACAAGCTGCCCTTAGGGAAGCTAGTCTCTGTCCGCCTCATCCCCCTCTACAAGGATAATGCACATAAAGCAGTTTTGAACATCTGGAAGTGCTAGTAAGTGCCAGCAGGAGCAACCGTCAATGTTTTTCATCCTGATGGCTCTGCATTTTTACTCGGCAGTCAAGCCCACTCTGTCCAAAAATACAACTTCTCAGGTGAGCGAGGACAGCCTCAGGGGAACGTAAGAGCTGAGCGCCACTGGTGAAAGGCCTCTGGGCCAGCATCCAGTTCACACGGTGCCCGAGTCGCTAACTGGGGGTGCGAGTGCCAAAGCACCATCCCACCCGCGTCCCCCGGCACAGGTGCATCCAAACGGGAGAGGCCATGGAGATGGCAAGAGCGGCAGCAGGCAGCGGCCACCTCCTTCGGAGAGTCGCCTCACCCTCCTCTGATGCCGTCTGGGTCATGCTGGCCGCGGCACCCTCGGGCAGCCGTTCCAAAGCTTAACCATGGGCTTCATGGGGAAGGGCTGCCCTTGCCCAGCCCTGCCTTCCCGACCCTGCAGCTTCCTTGCATGACTCTGAAAAGTCTCTGGCCGCACACTCAGCCAGCAGCACTTCCCTCCCCTGATCTCTGCCACACGAGCAAGGCTTTCTTCTGGTGCATCCAAAGAGGGCAGATGGTTTACGTTCCAGCTGCTTCCACCACCGTGTCACTCCGAATCGGGCAATCGTGCTTCAAGACACTGGGGCAAGGCAAGAGGAGTGGCCGAGGCCGGGAAGCGAAGAGGCCCCAGATATTTTGCGTTTTGGCTTCTCGGGTCTCCCCTCCTCTCCACCCCACATAACATCCCCTTTCCTCCTCCTCCAAGGCCACTTTTCCAGACTTAGAGGGCAGCCAGCATGGCTCTTCCCATGCTGACTGTGGGTCCCACCTGACTCCTCCTGCTGAGGTTGCAGCACTTGGAAGACCTTCCCCAAGCGCTCTGGCCATCTGTGCAGCCCTCCCCCAAGAGCCATAGAAATGTTCTGATGACATCAAGAATTCAGCTTTTCCTCTTTGCTCATGGGATGTGAACACGTTAACCGATTAATTATTTTGGCTGTGCTGTGTTCTGGTCGCAGGAGGGGACAGAAGCTGAAGTGCTGGGAAGCAGCATTAAGCTGCGGGAGGGCGGAACTGGCCCCTCAGTAGCACCGAAGCGGCCACTGCACAGGGACGGGGCCGGCACCCTCTTGTCCCTTGCCTCCAGCAGCAAGGCTGACCTCAAGCAGCTTGGGACTGGGATCCTTAAGGGCAGGTACTAGTTCCTGCTTTTCTGATTCCTCTGGCCGATCATATTGGCTCCCCATGGTTTGAACTATTGTATTATATTTATATCCCACCTTTCTCTCACTGTGGAACTCACGGTGGCCACATGCTGTTCCCAGGGGGTCTCCCCTCCAAGCTCAGGCCATCCCCACTCCTTCTCAGCTTAACATGGGGGGACGGGGACGGGACACGCCTCTTGTGCCTCCAGACCTCATGCTGGGCCATGTCTGTGCTCATGAGCTCCTCCCTGCCTCTTTTATGGCCTGGCTGGTTTTGCATTTTATCCCTGAGGTCTCAGATGCTCCTTTGGGGTTGGAACAGGATGAGCAGGGACCACTGCATTCCAAAGCAGCCTTCCACACCCTAAGGAAGTTCTTGATCCCAGATGGAGTGGGCCCCAACCTTCACTAGCCACAGGGGATAATGGGGTTTATACTCCAGATCTCTGGAGGATGCCAATTTGGTGAAGGCCATTTTAAGCAGCAGGAGAGCTCTAAAAACACCCTGGACAGACTGGCAGGAGGAGGAACAGGTGGGTCCAGGAGCAATAAAAGCCAGAACTTGCCCTGGACAGCAAAGTGACGGATCTGGGGCTGTCCTGCTTTGGGCGCATCAAGAGGAGACACAACTCCCTGGGGAAGACCATCATACTACGAAAGTGGAAGGCAGAAGAGGAGGACCAGCTATGAGATGAGATGGAGCGAGTCCATAGAGAAGTCACAGCTGTGAGTTTACAAGGACCTGGAGGGCTTTTGCTCATAAGGCCTTAGAAAGTTGGAGACAACTCCATTTACAGTCCTTTCTAAGGATCTTGGCACAATTTGCAACAACCCTGACCAAGCTGAGTCCTACTTCGTTCCAGGAGAGGAGGAAGGAGAGTGGCGTGAGAGTCAGGCCCAAATAAAAGTAACTTTGATGAGGGGGCGGCCTCAGGGCAACACTAATGCCCGAATGCTACTCAGATCATCTCTTGACAAAGCATGCAAAGGTCCTCCAGTTCTTGGCTTGGCTGCAGCCTGCAGGCCCAGAGTGGGGACACCTGTCCCCGAGGCCCCAGACGGCGCTCTCCACTTCTACTTTCTCCTGGGCTCTCCGTTTACTCTCGAAGTGCCTCGTTCTATCCCGATCCCTGGTCGGGAGGACGCCGGTGGTTACTTAGAGAGAGTACCCCCCCCCCCACCCGGCTTGGCCTCCCTCTGGGGTGCCCAGCGAGGAGGAAGGCTCCGCCTCCTGCCAGCTGCAGAAAGAGCGGCATCGTAGGGGGCGCCCGATCCTTTCTACACGTGAAAGGGCAGAGATGCGCGCCATCACCCCCACGCCCGCCTCTGGCGCCGGGGGACGCCCGGAAGCTTGCCGCATCCCAGCGCCGCCGCTTCTGCTACGCACGCATGTCCACGGGCACGCAACGCTCAAGCCCCGGCGCCCCCGCGCCCCAAGCCGGGACCGACCTGCAGCCCGTCTCCGGCCGCGCGCAGCGGCGCCCCAAGAAGGCGCGCAGCCGCGCTACAGCCCGGCCGGCATCCCCGGGCCTCGCCGCGGGCGGGCGGGCAGCCAATCGGCGCCTTCCGCGGGCGGGCGGGCAGCCAATCGGCGCCTTCCGTGGGCGGGCGGGCAGGGAACGCTCACCCGGAACTTCCTGGCTGTAGCGCGCGCCGCTTTGGAAACCGCGCGCGAGCGGCCGCTAGCTCCGCTGCAGCCGCGAAGGCGGGGGCGGTCCGCCGGCCGGTGCTCTGTGGCTCCCCTCCCAGAACGAGGCAAAGGCCTCCGGCACGGAGCCGTCCCGCTTGCCCTCCTCGCGCGGGCGAGTCGAGCGGTCGCGTATGGAAGGCGATTCATACAATGAGTTGTACGGCATTGAAGAGGACTTCGAGGAGCGGTTTGCGGACGAGTTGGAGGCCTTGGCTGAGCTGGAAGGTGGGAACTGGTGGCCCCTTGGGGTGCAAAGACGAGGCTTGGACGTGGGGTGTGCACGTCAGGACGTGTCGCGAATTTCGCGGGATCGAGCGCCTCCTGCTCGGTTTCCCCAGCTGTGTACGCGAAACTGTTATAATAAAACGTGCTACTTGCTTACTACCATTGCAGAGTAAACTGGCGCGTGCCTATCGAAAGTAAACCCCACTGAGGTCAGTGGGAATTACTCCCAAGAAAGCACGCCAACGATTGTAGCTGAGTTTGCTTCCTTACTTTGATCGTCTTGCAACAAACGTGTATGTTGAATATAATTGCCTCGGTAATGCAGAAAGGGAGTAGGACTGAGATGGAGAGCGTGGTCGTCTGATGTCCTATCCAGGTTTTGCCAGAAAAAAGGCCTGCAATTCCTAGCATGTGTGCGGGGGTAGGGGGGAGTTGCAGTCCAGCGCATCTGGAATGTACCATCAAGATGCATGGCATTGGGCAGGGACCCCTCCACCCGTAAGGCACAATCTTATACAAATTCAGGCGGAAAAAGCCTACACCTCCCAGCATGCCCTGCGAAGTTGTGGGCCTTTTTTCCTAAACTTTAAGGATTGCACCCCTGATGTACCTGATCAAGGAGAACAGGCTTTTATATTCTCAGGTGCCCTTCTGCTTTCCAATCTGTGCCTGTCCAAGTGGCTGCAGTTTAGAGCAGGGGTCCTCAAACGGTTTCAACAGGGGGCCAGTTGAAAGGTGCTGGCGATGTGCGGGGGGGGGGGGCGGTGAGGCAGTGGGGAGATCGTTTTCTCCGAGCGAGTCCAAAACGATCTCCCCATGAGCAAGCTGCCGGCTCGCTGCACGCACGCACGCACAGCGAGTCCAAAACCTCTATGGCGGGCCAGATGAATGGGCATGACGGGCAGTAGTCTGAGGACCTATGGTTCAGAGACATGGTATGTGGTCAGATTTATTAATAAAGTGGTCAGATTTATTAATAAAGATTTATTAACGGGTTGGCAGTTTTTGAACCCTCCCTCCTGGTGCCAAAGATAAAATATTAAACTGTAGAACTTCTCCACCCCTCTCTTTTGAGAACAGCATTCTTGTCCTGTTAGAGTGAAGCTGCTCACAAGCTCTTGGTGAAATTTGGATGGGACCAGATGAAAGTTCTTTGTGCACTTTTTTTGTTCTCCAGTGCAGGGCAATATCTAGGCCAGAGCTTGCTTTGTAGCCAGCTTTGCATGTTCAGGCCAAAAGAGATTTATTTCCCATGCACTGATAACTTATTAATCCCATATTTCTTGCAGGGCAAGCCACTTCGGTGCTGCCCCGTAAAGTCTCGGAGTTCCGAAGCAGAAAGCGGACATTTGAAGAAGCTCTTTCTTCTGGGGATTTACTTAATGGTTCCACCACTCTGGGTTGCCGGCCATGCCTAGGAAAACATCCTCAAGGCCATGTCCTTGCCGAGGAGGCTGGTGACCACGAAGGGCCACACGGTGAGGGGGCAGAATGCCTCCGGGCAGAGTCTGCAGAGGACCCGGGGTGTCTCCGGAAGGGCGGTGCTGATCAGAGTACGTTTGGCTCTTGCATGTTGTAGCTGTTCTTTTCAGGCAGCAGCGACTGGTGTGAGGTGGGTGCTGCTTCACACAGGGTGGTCTTTTAAAATGTTGTAGTTATTTATAAATTCCAGAAGATCAGAGCAGCATACATGGTTCTTCTGTCTTCTCGTTAACCCTGCAAGGTAGGTTGGGCTGAGAGAAAATGACCAATCCAGAATCAGTCAGTGAGGCAGATTTCTCGCTGACCTTGTTGACCTTTGTTTTAACACAGCAGGTGCAGGCTCACAGGTTTGAACACACCTCTGTGGAAACAGGGAGTTTGCCTTTTGATGCAACAGTACCAAATTTGCATTTTCCAAATGGACAGGTGAACTAGAACACAGTTGGTTTTTTGGTGTTTCTGCTTCTCCAGATTTAGTGATGCAATTCTCCTTCCGCCCCCACAAAAAATCTCCAATACATGCAAAAAGTCTGTGTATTTGGCAAAAGTGGCATGTAAGAAGGGTCATACTGGGAGAATTTCTTACAAAAATCCATGTGGATTTCCATGGGGACTTGAAAAAATTGTAACTGCTGTGGAAACAGGATGGGACAAACTAAGGGCTGGGAAAATAGAAGCTGAAATTAACCGATTTGCTTCTTTCTGCTGTACCTGTCACAGGAGAGGCTAAATTAGCAGTCTGCAGGCATGCTTGTCTCTTGCTTGCTGTGTATATGGGGGGGGGAGTGTATTTCTGTAGAGGGAGCTTCCAGCACTGAATGGTCAGAAGAGGAACATTTGGGATGAAGTTTGGCTCCCTCAGAGACCACTGGGCCCAAAGGGCTCCTCACAAACTGCGCTCTGCCGTCCTGTGGAAAGAACTGGGTTGTTGTGAGAGCCACTCCTTACTCTCTTCCTTTTGTGCCTCTGGACTGACAGCACCAAAGCCAAAGCGACAGCGGTGTCTCGAAGCCGTGAAGAAGCTGGACTTCGGAAAGAGTTTTGAGGACCTGCTGCAAGATGGCGGAGCTCTGCCTCTTTCGCTGGGAATGCCTTTGGAATTGCAGGATGTGAGGTTAGCCCTCTGCTGGAAAAGGGGGGAATATTATGGTGTGGTGCAGCTACTTCTCAGGTGGAAAGATCAGCTTGTGCCCTCGCTGAAGCCCAAAGAATGCAGACAGTTTTGTGCTCGAACACACATTTGTTATAGAAGAGGAAAATTGCTCAGCTCACCATCAGGCACATGGGCCAGTGTATGAGTTCTAATAAGCCAGCCTATTAAGAGACTGGGGGGGGGGCAGATTAGCAGCCGCCCTTCAAGGAGGGAAAGGTGACCCTATTAAGGCGTGTGGCCGAGGGAACCCAGGTCCTGGCAGAAATGCCGGGCTGCAAGGGGCAAACCTGTCACTTTTTAGAGAAGGGAGAACAGAAAGGGCTGAACTTCCTGGCTGACTGTCAAAAGTTAGAAAGGACATGGAAAGGACTGCAGGAAGTCACGAAAGCCACTTTGGGCAAAGACTAGAAGTGGCGTTGGCAGGTCAGGGAAGGGAGCAGATTGGAGTGGCCAGGTGAGGGGTAACCTGAAGCCACCAACTGCCATCTAAACTGCCAAAGTGGCGGCCTAGCAAAATGCAGCACGGAAGATCAAGCAATGGCTTCTCACTTCTGCAGCTCACGGTCATTTTCATGGAACTGCACTCCGAGGAGCTCTTGGGGCCCCCGATGATCAAGAAACAGTCCAAATAATTGTTTTTATCTTTTTGACTTTGCGGCAGTGATGAGGTGACCAAACAGAGACATAATCGGTATTGGCAGTCTTGGAGTCACCACCATTCGGTTAAAAACAGGATTTGGCTGGAAAACTTTAACATGGGGCGTTTGTTTGTTTGTTTGTTTGTTTGTTTGGCGGCTGTGTCACTTGGTGTCAGAGTCCAGGGCATAGGCAGCAGAATAACATGCGGGGGCATGAGGCCCCAGGCAACTAAGCTGATGTCCAAACAACAATCCTTAAGCAGGAGCAGATGATCTTGCCGAAAACCCGTCCCAATCCAATTTGTGCTTTGGATATTAACAGCAACACTTTGATGGGGTCGGTGTCCTGTGCTGATGGCAAACGCCACGGCTGTGGCTTAGCATTCCCAGTCAGGTCCCAGTTGGACGCTCGGCTACAGAAGTGCTTCCCCGTGCCCTGCATTTACTTCGCAATCACTTTCGTTGGACTTGGAGAAAGGCGTCCACCGGCAGGAGGGCAGCGGGGCCCTCCTCCCTCCCATGCATGGAGCCTGCCTCTTGAGTCAGTGGAGGGCTTCCGCCAGGTTTCTCCCCAGGTTTGGGCCAGGTGCTGCAGAGACACCTGGCTGTGTGGGGCCAGTGCGATCGGCCTGGGCTTGGTGTTGTTCCATAGTCCCAGGGAGCAGTTCCCTTGAGTCCAGTCAAGGCCGGGAGCCCATGTGCAAGGCCGCTCCCGTCTCCTTGCAGCCGCTTGCCAGGCCGCTTCTTCCTGAGCCAAGCCAGTTCAGTTCTGGACCAGGCCAGTCAGAAGCACGCTTGCAGTATGTGTCTGAGGAGACAGGCCATGCAGTGCTTCTTCGCAGCAGGACTGGAGGAGAAGTGAGCGCTGGTCCTGAATGATGGGGTGGAACAGAGCAGTGCTGCAGATAAATCCGTCGCAGAGCTTGTGACTTCTGGAGCTGAGCCACGTTTTCTGCCAGAATCAGCCCCAGTCTCAAAGCACACTTTTGCAGAGGGTTGGGAAGGAAAGAGTCCGCAGCTGCCAAGAGGGGGTGTGGGGCAGGAGCCAGGTGAGGAGAAAAGGGCTAACCAGCCAGAGGGGCAGCATGCAGCTACGGCTGGCCCATCTTCAGAGGGGGTGGCCCAGGGTACGCAAAAGGAGTGCTCCTGGAGGTCATTTCTAGTGTGGGCTTAGCAAACTACTCTGTGCATGCTCAGAGATTCATTCTTTGCTGATTATGCTTAGCTGGATGTACACTGGAGAACAGAGAGCTTTTGCCAAAGAACAGTCTGTTGCTTCGAAAGGGGGATCCAAGCTTGTGACACATGGAGTATGTTAATCCTCCTGATGGGTGTCTCTTTCCTTGCACTTTATGGTGAAGAAATCCAAAACTTGAGGTCCCAGCCAGCACAGAAGAAGCCGATGTGTCCCCAGTGCATCTTGTGCCACCGGAGGAAACGGGCTCTAAGAAAGTTTTGAAGCGCCCACCCATCCTGGCAGACTATATCAATGTGACCTCCACCAGCGGCAACCGGGTTTTTCTGGTGGTGAAGAATGCTTGGATGGAAAGGCAGGTACGGCTGCAGCGCACGGGCCACGCCCTGTCCGGAGGAGGCCAGGCACGGCCTGGCGCATCCTCGCAACTGTCCTGTCTGGTTTCTGCAGCTCTTCAACTCGCCTCAGTGCAGCAGGTCAGGAGCACTGCACCTCCTGGGAGTCCCGTTCTCCTGCCTCAAGGAGCAGGTGGCTGAAGAGGTATTGTCCTCCCCAACCCACCCATCCAACCCCCTCCACCACGTGCTGCGTTATCCCTTCAGCTCCATAGCACCCTTCTTTCTTTCCCCCTTCTGCATCCATAGGCTTGCGGCATCCCAAAGAATGTGGTTAGATTTGGCCGCATCTCGCTTTTGATTGCGCTCTGCCTTTGGGCCAAAGATGAGAGCAGGGACTCGCTTGAGGGTTTCTTGGGAAAGGCATGTCGACAGCCAGCCGGGACAGGTGGATGGCAGTGAGGTGGGAACAGGAGGGATGGGTTTGGCCCTGGGGCCCTGGGAGCACCTGCAGGAAGTCAATTCATCAGTTAGCAGAAAGTTTCAGTGCAAGGAACTCTACTGTCCCAACTTGGTTGATGGTAAAATAACAATGATGACAGCAGCAACATCCTCCTAAAAGTACCTGGAATATCGTACAAGATCATAAAACCAGATAACATGGCCTGTAAGAATGAAAGAGCTGGAAGAAGCCCTGGGGAGCCCAAAAGCGCTGCAGAGCACACGGCCGATATATGACTGGACTCTTAACAGGCATACAAAAATCAGTGTGCACTTGGTATGAAATGCAATGGTCATCTCACAAAGTGCTTACAGCCAGATGGATGGCACCCACCCAGCCACCCAAGATCCAGCAGTGCTTCAGGGCCAGTAGACCGTATGTCCAGTAAAAAAACCTTAAAAACTCAATGGTGCTCAAATGCAAGGTGCCAATTTCAAGATCTTGTGCATGAATATTGCTAAAATGAAAGGTGGTTTGGGTATCCAGTAACATGCCTTTTCATGAAACTTTTGGGGTGTTGTTAGGAAGTGAGTAAAGTTCTGTTTCTGTATGCTGCAAACCCATAAAAAACGAACCCCCCCCCCCGGTTCAGGAAATCGCAAGCAGTGAGTGCCCTGCTTGAACCCTTCTGTGCAGGAGGACGGGGGCCCTGCGTGCGCACCCCCTCGCTCTCCGGTGCACTTCGCGACCGTGTCTTGAGCTGCACTCTCTCTCCCCCTTTCAGCGCCGGAGGCAGATGCTTCAGTCTTCGGAGCACTTGACGGAGTCCCTGGACAGGTGGGCTGGCAGGTGTTCTTCTACGTAGCTGAGGGGGCCTTCCAAGACCATGTGAGACCAGCAGTCTCTCCAGCTTGGCGTTATCCATTACTGACAAGGATAATGTTCTGCCAAGGTTTTTTGTGTCTTATGTTTTATGGGTTTGTTTCTTACTGTTATTTATTTTTATCTGTATTTTAAATATATTTATATTGCACACTGTGGGCCGCCCAGAGAGCCTTTGGCTATGTGGCAGCATACAAATGTGACAGATAGATAGATAGATAGATTATAGATAAGGTTCCCCGCAGGACCTTCGATGCAGGGGAGCATTTACTTTGCCTCTGTGCTGCAATCCTGGCTGGAAGAAAAATGGGGTGAGGTCGGAAGCTGCATGTCACTGAGTTGAAACTTGAAGGACCACCTTGCCTAGCTGGGGATGCTACTACAGTCCAGTACATTGGACGACACGGGACTGAGGAAGGCAGGTGTGCACCATGGACGCCTACCATATCCAGCCTGTCCCAAAGCTCCATGCCAGTTGTAAAAGGGCAGGTTCCCGATGCTTGTGGCTGGAAAAATGTGCTGGAAACCCAGGAACTGGTACCTGCTGAACCCTCGAAAGACAGTGTGATGAACAGGAGTGCTTTGGGGTGGCAAGGCCCTGGGCATCTCCTAGGATTACCAAACTAGAAATAAATTTTGCAAAACAATAGGCAAATATCCTGAATTTGCATAGTTCATGCAGGTTGTGGGGCTGGACTTCTGGTGCAAGGTTTCGGTTATTCTTATAAGCCCGGAGCCACGAGTTGTCCTCCCCGGGACTGGGAACGAGAGGAAGCTTCCATGGATAAGGGAGCTGGTCAGCCAACACGTTTCCCGTGCATCCCACTTTCTCCTGGGATCAGCAGTTTCGTCCTTTCTCAGCTATGCAAGGAGAAGCGAGAGTCGGGTGGGGCACTGGGAAGCTTTTGTCTCCATTTCAGCTTAGCTTTCCAGCCTTCTTTCTTGCAGCTCTCCAAAGGAAGAGAACCAGACAGAAGCCACGGTGCCTGGCCTGAAAGAGGATAGCTGCGGCCAGGCAGAAGAGGACGAGTCGGCTCAGCACTCCCTCTGGGTCGACCAGTTCACGCCACGGCACTACGTGGAACTGCTCAGCGATGACGTGAGAGCCTCTTTCCGGCAGATGCTGCAAATTGCTGCTGCGGTGCACACAGCTGCAGCTGCTTTGCATGAGCCCAGCGATTGGGATTGAGTGCAAAGCTCCATTTGCAAGCCCCGCTTTCTTTGCAACTTTCTCGTGCCCGTGGTTGGAATGACCGGCTCAAACACGTGTGGGCAACATCTCACGTTTTGGAAGTGGGAGCAGAGAAAGTTGGGGTTTTAAGGAGCAGCTTTTTGCTGTTCCCAGGAGCCTTGTTGTCCTTCAGTGTTCCTGGAACATGGTTAGTCACCAAACAGATGTGTGGTTTGGATGCCACCATGTTCTCTCTTGAGTAGAAAGCCCAGCAAAATGGGTAAGCTAACTGGTGTCTAGTTGTGGGAAACCATGTGTGCTTTTGAGACACACTTCATCCCTCAACTGCACGAAAGAGCAGCACCTTCTCTCCCTTCTGTAAACCTTGTGCGCCCTTCTCCTCCTTCTTGCACCTTTGCCAAACAATTTCCACATGGGTGAACTTTTCCTTCCTTGCAGTACACAAATCGCTGCCTCTTGAAGTGGCTCAAGCTGTGGGACAAAGTGGTGTTTGGGAAGGAGCCCCCTTCCCGGAAAGCCAAGCTGAGTTCCGAGGCCCACCCATCCTCCAGGCATCCCAAAGCGCAGCAGAGCAAATGGAAAACCAAAGCCCAGTTGGTGGAGGAGGTCCTAGAGGCTGAGCTGGACCAGCACAACCGGCCCAAATACAGGGTGAGCAGTGGGCGCTGCTCTGAGGGCAGGGGCTGCGTGGAACCCTCTACCCTCCCGCGTGACGGCTTCAGCATGTGCTTGGAATGTCTGTAATGCTTTGGGACAGGCGGGAGGCGTCTCCTTCAGTCTGACAAGCCAGTTCCAATTTGAAAAGACTTTGGGGGTTGTGTTCCAAAGGCAGGGGGTGTGGGGAGCACCATGGCAGCGTATTTTAGCTCTTGCTATCAGTTGCTAAGCCTTTGAAGAGGCATTTCAGCCTCTTTAGAAGGGGTGAAAAACCTGTGCAGAAGCTGGGGAAGGTTCAGGTTAGGGACAGGGACAGGGAGAACCCCGGAGGGCCAAGCTGACACCACAAGGGCAGCAGGGGGGCCTGCAGGACTAGCGATGGGTGAACTTGCCCCAAATGAAAGCGTGATTTCCTCCGCAGATAGTGAATGTATCCGTGCGAGAGAGTTCTCTGATATGAGGCTGGGTTCTCCGCATGGAATGCTTTGCACATGTGCACCCTCGAGCTGCACTGTGGCATTCATAGTTTTTAATGCATCAGGTAAACACGCATCACCGTGTTACGTATCCTTCCTGGCAGACTGTTTTATGTGGCCTTTCTGTGTAATGTTTACTTGCAGAGCACGTGCAGACCATGTGTAGAGGCCATCTGCACGTGCTCTGAAGCTTGCTCTCCAAAGTTGATCATTTTGCAGCACTGTAAACTTGCTACAAAGGCCGAGTGTTACAAATGCACAAGTTTGGACCAAACTGACGAATAATTACAGAATTTGACAGCGTTGTGGCAGAGGCTGGCATCCTTCATTCGTTTGTGCTGCAGAATTTGGAGCAGGAGTGCAGAATCCACACTGCCTTGCAACTAGATGGAAGTGGGAATGGGCCCCGCCAAGGAGAAAATGCTTGTGGGAGAATATGCTTTTGTTCTTGTCCTTTATTTTTGAAGTAGATTATGCAGATGCCTTGAATTCTGCTATTCCTGTCCTCCCTTTTTCTGTTCCCCACAGGTTGCCCTCCTGTGTGGCCCCCCTGGCTTGGGCAAGACCACGTTGGCTCATGTGGTTGTGAAGCGTGCTGGGTATAATGCCGTGGAGATCAATGCAAGGTGAGCTTCCACCATCCTGCTCAAGGTAAACAAAACCTCTGTAAGGTTAGTGGCCGGGTGTGATTTAGTGGGATAGGATTTGGACTCAGGCACTGTAGGTTCGGATCCCTTCACAGTCTGAGCTCTCTGTTTTTCCATTTTGCATCTGTAAAAGGGGTGTGACAGTGTTAGGCCGTTGTTTCAGTGTGCAGTGGAGCAAGGGCTCATGTAATGGAGAAGGAAGCATCTGAAGGAAGCCGGTGAGGGCTGGATTAAGGTATATAGAGGTAGCTAAATTTATTCCCTCTGTTTTGTGAGCTATCAAGTGTCTTGTTTCATGGTTCGTTCCTTGACAGAATCAACGTTTAGGGGTGTTGGAGAATGCTGCTTCAGCAGGTAATAAGATTAACAAAAGGAAGCATATGCAGCGAAGAGTGCTTAGAAAGAAAGACTGTCAGTTCATTCTTGGCCTGAATGGGACTTGAGATGGCGGCAGAACAGCTAAGCAGAAATATGGACAAGGCGGTTGGAGGGAGGGAGCCAATCGGGAGGAAAGCGAGAGAGGGTTGGTGCCGTCTGCATGCGTGTGGGGCCCTCTGGAAGCCGTGGGGCTTGAGGAGGCCTCTAGGGGCTGCGTGGAGAGGGCCAGGAGCATGACCGAATGGCCCGGCACTCTGCCTCGGGTCGGAAAGGTGTGCGGCACAGGCGGTGATGGCTGACAGGCCCAAGTGGGTGTCGCCTGCGCCCCAGGCGTCAGCATTCCCTGGTGTCTGTCTGAGTTTGGAAGCATCCACCGCAGTCTGGCACCATCCAGATTCACATGCAAACATCACTTTGTGGCACATTTCAGGCAGTTGCCTTTAGGTACTTCCTTCCCCTCACACAGCAGGTCACTTTCATGTATCAGGAATAAATCCGCGTAGGCCCATTCAAGGTTTGCAAAGAACCAGAGCAGCGAACCTTAAGGTCTTGTGGGATTCTAAAGGTACGATTCTGTACACATTCAGGCAAGAAAAGGTCCTGCTACCCCCAGTGGGCTGAGAGTTGCAGGGCTTCCTCTGTCTCACATGCATGACGGTCCTCCACAAGGGCGAACAAAGCTGTCTTCCTGAACGGAACTGGCTTTACGCGTGAACATTTGCTCTCAGGAGGCGGACGGAAAGCGAGGTCCCAGAGGGGTCCTCCTGCAGCCTGCCCCCACCCCTTTCCTTAGCCCAGGGGTTTTGTTTCAGTGACGACCGCAGCCCGGAGATCTTCCGGACACGGATTGAAGCTGCCACCCAGATGAAATCGGTGCTGGGAGCCAGTGAAAAGCCCAACTGCCTGGTCATCGATGAGATAGATGGTGCCCCAGAGGTAAGTGGTTCTCCAGGGGGACTAAGGTCCCCATCTTCCTGTCACTTGCTCCTCTGGGGATAGTGAACTGCTTTCTTCTTGGGGTTTGGGCAGATGGCCTGTTTCTGCTCTTTGGATTTTCCTTCCCCGGTTGCAGAGCGCTAGTGAAACAGGAAAGAGAACATGAGCGGTCATGGCCACAGCCAGTGGCTGGGTGGCCTTCCAGGTAATTTTTGCGAACAGTTCCCCTGCCGTTTTATCATTGTCCTGGTTTGCAGTGTCCCACTTCCCCTTCCCAGACGAAGCCCAGGGCAATCAAGCACATCATACAGAATCGAACTGTGTTAAGCAGACCACCAGAAGGCAGCAACGGGAAAACCCATCGCACAGCGAAAGTGCTGCAGCAACTGGCAGGCTGCCTTTCAGTTCGTGATCAGCACAGCGGTTAGCTCGCTCGCTGGCTTGCGTGAAGGAAGGCCCCATGCTTTCCCTTTTATTTGAATTTCTGCTACTTGGGTCTGACCCCAAGACATTCATCATCATCATCATCATCATTATAACATTTCTATGCCGCCCCTTGCCGAAACCTCGGGGTGGCTTACAACACAATAAAATACATTGAAATACAATAGAACATAATAAATTACCATTAAATACAAAAATACAAAAAAAAATTCATGGGGTGAGCTGCCTGAGGTTGTGATTCCTTCATTCAGGAAGTGGCCTGGGAGGGACCGGTTGCACTCGGTGCTTCAGCCCCCACCCCCCGCATCCAACTGGGCTGCAGTGCTTGCCTCTCCTTGCGGCTCTCCCCCAGGTAGGACACAGCGGTGCTTCTGCTGTGTGCATGCTTGCCTTTGTTTCTGTCTGTGTTGTTTCCCTGCTTTCCAGGTGTCTATCAATGTGCTGTTAAGCATAATCAACTGGAAGCCTGGTGAGGCAGAACTGGGAACTGGCGGCACAAAGGCAGCGGGGACGAGGAGGAGGAAGGAGGGCGGTCTTCTCCTGCGGCCAATCATCTGCATTTGCAATGACCAGTGAGAGACTTGCTCTGAGCAAGAAATTGTGCGCGGGGGGGGGGGGGGAAATACTGCCTGCTGAGAAATTAAAGCGTTGTGGGAATTACACTGGGCATATTAGCTGGTTTCTGTGTATGGAAGAAGGGTTAGCGGTTTTGGTTTTTATATTAAGGCTAAAGGATCACAACAAGGAGTCTTAGAATTATGATCTTAGTCTAATATTTTGCATATATTAAAATGGATCTTTTTCCTATGCATAGTAAGGAGAACATTCAAAATTTCCACGGTGATATTTCTTATCCTGAACATGTGCCCCTTGGGATTTGCATGTTCCGGTCCCAACCACCACAAGAGGGTTGCGAGCGTGCCACCTCCGCTTCTGAGGCCGGCTTGCTCCGGACCAGAGGTGCCGCCTGCAGCCAGACTTGCTGGTTGCTTGGAATGCAAGCCCTCGGCGTGCCTTGGCGGGGTGGCCCAGGCACTGGCGTCCTCCAGCCGGCTCTTGCCTGCCTCAGAAGGGCTTCTCTGCAGCTCATCAGGGTACTGCTTTGCCTTCTAGGTACGTCCCTTCTCTGCGGCTGCTGAGGCAGCAGGCCTTCCTTCTCAACTTCCCCTCGACGTCTCCACCCAGGCTGGTCCAGCGGTTGCACGAGGTAGCCCAGGCCGAGAGCACGCATTCTCTCCCTCCCCCGCGATCGCTTGGCCTGCAGCATGACCCTTCCTGCAGCGGGGCATTTAAATCCTGACCCACCCGGTACTCTGAGGATGAACAAAACAGCTTATTGATGAGCAGGGCGAGGCCACTTGGCAACAATGGGTTTCATTTTTTACCATTAAGCCAAAAAAATCATTTCTCTTTCCCACTGTTGTTGTTTGTCTCAGTGTACGTACATAATATCATATTTGTCAGCACTTCACCAAATCAGAAATTAAGGGCATAATTTTATGTGACTTCAGAGAGAAGGAAAGGCGTGCATTTCCCAGCATTGGTGGCTGGAGCATGCTGGAAGTTGCATCCTTTGTTCTGTATAAATTCAGATCGGATCGTGCCTTGAAACACATCATTGTAAATCTAGAAGCTCACCAGGTAAAGGGCGCAACCCTGTGCATATGTAGATGGCAAGAAGGCCTGCAATTCCCAGCATGCAGTCCCATCCTCCGCATTCCTCCTGCCTTCCATTGGCCGCCCGCAGCCCTCTGGGGCGGAAGGCTTCGGTGCAGCGCGCTGGATGGTGCCCTCCGCTGGGCGGTCCGCTCGTGTGCTGCCGGCGGGAGGCGTCTGTTGGAGCCACCCAGTGAGGCCTGCGTGGAGGATTTCGGGTGCCGGCGGAGCGTGAACAAGGGAGGATGGGCAGCTGGGTGTCCTGGTCCCAAATCAATAGCAAGACCTTAAACGTAGCTCAGCACCTGGGAGGCAGCCTATGGCCCTGCCTGCTCACCTGTCCTCGGTAGAGAACTTGCTTCCTGCCATGCTGTTGTGGGGCAGTGGGGCCGCTCCTACACCGTGTGGGTCTCCACACCGAGAAGGTTGCCTTCCTTTCTCCAGCGCCAGTCGAAAACAGTGCTGGCCCCAGGTGTTTCTGGCATGAGGGGAACCCACACCATGCCGCCGCCTCCTCTTGGGGTAAAGCCGGCTGTGGCAAGGAAGTAACGTGGCCAGAAACTTCGCTGGGTGCAATTGCAAGCCTGCATGCTTGGCAGCTCTTCGCCCCTTTGCTTTGTGTGTTGCTCTTGCCCCCTTTCCCCCCTTGTGGAGCTCAAGGTGGCTCCATGCGACCCCCGGGTGGCCTCTGAGGCCAGCCCCAGACCTGCTTAGCTTCAAGGGTGGGGGGGAGCTCAGGTGCCTTCACGCCACACTCAGGGCTGGGCTTGGAATCCTGGCAGAGTCAAGCTGGAGGGGGCCAGGAAGGCCACCGGCTCCAGCCCCTGCTGGCCAGGGCGCCACGCTACGCCGTCCCACCCGGAGGCTGCCCAGCTTTTGAGACCCTCCCTCTCCTCTCACGGTCAGCCTGCTCAGGTGCGCTGCGCCCGGACAGGGCTGCTAATGTGAACGTCTCCCTTTCAGATCGCCGTCAGGCAGGGCATGAAAGCCAATGCGGGGGCCCTCATGGCCTTGTGTGAGAAGGCAGAGAACGACATCCGCTCCTGCATTAACACCCTGCAGGTAAGTCACAGTGCTGGCAGTCTTGGTCCCCCCACCTGGCCGGGGGGGGGGGGGTGACCCCATGCAGGTGACCGCTTCAGAATGCCCTTCCTCTTCAGCTCTCCCTTTTGCAAGGTTTGGGGACAGTCACACGTAAGCAGATAGAATTTTGGAAAAGTACACAGGCTGCACATGCCTGCTGAAACTGCAGAAGCAAGGGGCTGGCTGGACATACTGCATCTGAAATTTTCTGAACCGTATGAGCTGGAAACTTTTTAGGAACGGAAGCAGTGATTATCAGGAGGGTGAATTTGGCAGGCAAATTTTGCATCCCATGTTTATTCAGAAACCACCCCTGAAAAAGACACGCTCATAACATCGCCCTCTTTCTGCCTCTTACACCTTTCAATCCCACTTTTGGATTCAAATCTCTCATTGTTGTCCTTGAAGTTCCTGCATGGCCAGGGGAAGAAAGAATTGACCGTGAGGACAGTCCAGGCTGCTCAGGTTGGCTTAAAAGATCAAAACAAGGGGCTGTTTTCCATCTGGCAGGAGATCTTCCAGCTCCCAAGGATGCAGAGGTGAGAACAAAGAGGTTTTTCTTTCCTTTTTTTTCTTTTTTCCCCTCAGTAAATCCTTTCCAAACCACAGAAAATTAATTTCCTGCTGCTGCTGCTGAATTGTATGTTGGTGCTTTTTTTTTAATCAAAGGAAAAATAAGCATACCCCAGATTTTGAGACTGGAAGAAATATTGCAAATGAAAGTTGCATTTGTAGAAATAAAGTATTTATCTATATTCTATAGAAGAATGTTGAAATGATTGTAAAAATTGTGTAGGCCGCTGAAAGTTTGGGGACGGTTCTTGATCTGTGTTTTGGGAGTTGATAGATTTGGCCCATCCTTCACCTTGTTTTAATTTTTTTCCTGGGCCCATGTGTAAGTGTATTCAGGGCTTGTGACTGGTTCTGGAAAGAATGAAGATGCATATGAAAATACATCAGCTAGCATTCTGTCGGGCAACTGTTGGTGTGCAGTGATGAGCCCGTTCTGCAGTCTCTGCGCCAGCAGCTGCCTGGCCTGGTGCTCCCTGCTTGTTCCTTCTGCCACAGAGGCGCCTGCCTGCAGTCCTTAGAGGAGGCTGTGGGAGCCGCTTCCTGCTTCCCCCTTCGGTTCCAGGCGTTCCCTTGGAACAGAGAGTCGTGCAGATAGAGGCGCCCGCGTGACGCGGCCTCGGAGGGCGGCTCCCCTTCTCTCTCCCTCTTTTGGAAATCATGGTTTTCTGCAGAATTTGCACACATGCCTGCCTTACCCATCGGTAGAGGAACTTGATGAAAATATTCCCAAGCTGGAGCTCTTTCGCAGCCTGTTGCCATTGCAGGTTTTCTCCTCCAGGGAAGGAATAATGTGAGAAACCTCAGGCTAGACACCGAAAGATCCAGAGGCTTGTGGAGTTAATTCCGCTCACAAAGCTCCCTTTCATTTTTACCGCTTGCTCTTCCCTCTTCACCCTTCGCTTCTTGTGCAGATCTGTTCCACTCCCGACAAGCTTCTTCTAGGCATGGATTTTTTGGAAGCTTCGCCCTTAAGAGGGAAGGGGCTGATTCTGTGTACAAAGATTTGCAGAGGAACAGTGGGATTACGGTCTTTTTTTCAACTCTGTCTGTTCATTTTATGACATCTTTGCTGTGAAGGAGAGGCACGTGATCTCCGCGGACACACAGGCACAGCTTTGAGTGCTGTAAAACCAAGCCTCTGTGATAGTATCTTCTAGATAGAAAGAATGCCCAGTAATCTTACCGAAACCTAGATATGGAACTCATTTGCCAGAAAAAATGAACATTGCATGAATACACAGTCTCACGCTTCATAATGAAAAACTAATCCTTATTTCATGGTGAATAACCTTTGGACTATAATGTTTCTTAAACAGAAGACTATCTTTAGATAGATTTTTTTCCCTCAAAAAGCATTTTATGTTTAAAAATCCAATTTTTAATGATGGTTTTTAAAAAGAATCATTGCTTGTTCTCCACCCTGCGTGCATGTGCGACACAGACATGCGATCCAGGGCCCCTCCTAGCTCTCTCCTTCCTCAAGTGCCACACTGACGGTTCCACAGCCCTGCACTGCAGGACTTCTCACCCTGTGCCTCCTTTTTCCGCCCCAAGGCAGAGAATAGGCATGGACCCTTCGACCCCAGCCTGCCTCCTCGCTAGGGGGGACACCTCTGGTGCGCAGGCGGGCCGGTCCCTCCTGAAGGCGGCCACCCAGCGGTTCTACCACATCCTGCACCTCGGTGTGTCCTCTGGAGAGCATGAAAAGCTCGCCCAGGTACGTAGCTTTCTGTCTGAGCCGTCCAGATCCTCCGCCCGGCCTCGCCCGGCCCTGGCGTCCTGCCCCAGTTTCCTCTTACTTGCCCAGCAGGGGCCTCTGCCCTTCCCACCCCTCTGTGCTCAGTTGCCCAGTTGCCTCGCAGCCCCACCGATTCACCTTCCCTTGTGCTGGGGACCTCCTTCCCAGTGGCCACCTGCCCACCCTGCCCAGCTCCCTGCGTGGGCCAGTGTGTGCGGGTGGCGGTGAGCCCCACGTGCAGACCGTGGCTTCTCCCACATCCCCTTTCCGTGCTGGCCCCACAGCCGCCCAACGGTCTCCCCACTGAGGCCCTCCTGGTGCCGCTCGGGCATCTTTTGGGTGCCAGATTACAGCTGCTCCCAGGCATTTGATGGCATACGATGAGCCATGGCAGCAATTTCAGTTGGGTCTAGTTTTTAATGAATCTATTTGAGATGTTAAACTGTTTTATATTTTTGCATGCTGGTATATTTAAGCACTTTCCAGTTTGCATCCCGGAATGTTAAACTGTGTTTTATTGTATCTTTTTGATTGTTTGTGAACTGGCCAGAGACCTTCAACAACTGGGCAGTGTAGAAATAAGATAAAATAATCCCTTTCTCCCACACCGTCAAGACTGCAATCCGGCCAATGTCTTTGGCAGGGCCCACAGGAACAGGAGAGATTCTAGCCAGTGTGCAAGCCAGCTCACCCTTCCCAAGCACCCGAAGTGCGTCTTAAAGCTTTGGAGCTGTATGAACAGGAATTAATGCTCTGACGTGTGCCATGCCTGCTGATTTCAGCTTAGCTTCAGATAACAGAGACTTCTGGTGGTTCTGGAAGTTGCTCAGGCTCTGATTTTGGTGGACCTCCTGGGGTTGATGAACCCAGAGAGCACAGTCCAGGACAGCTGTCCCTGCAGTGCACCCAGCCGTTGAGCAGCTGGAAGGCATCGTTCTCCCTGGTGCAGCAGAATAGCCCTTCTGGCAGCTGCAAGGCTTTGCTTACTTTCTGTACCACGCGTCACGCGGGGCAGGCGCTCTGGGCGTCACACAAGGGTAGCAGGATGCAGTGGTCGCGATGTCCAGTATCAGCGCCAATAAGAATGAGTGTAAATGGTATTTCAACAAAAAGCAGCAGTGGAGTAAAAAGGAGAGAATGTCCCAGAGCAGTCGGGGCAGAAGCCGCGGGCTGGAACTTGCTTCCGCATCCCTTGGCAGGGCTTGTACGACAACTTCCTGAACATGAAGATGAGGGATTCCAGCTTTGGCTCCGTCTGCCTGGCCTTGGAGTGGCTGGCCTTTGCGGATCTCCTGAACAGGGCCGTCCTGCACGGCCAGAACTTCCAGCTGCTGCGCTACTTGCCCTTCCTCCTCGCCTGCTTCCACGTGCTCTTCGCAGCCCCCAGTGTTCCCAGGCTCTCCTACCCTAACAGCCAGCATGAGGTATGTATCGGAGAATCTATCAGGAGCAGAGGCCTGGGAGGGTGGGGAGGTGCTCAGCTTTAGACCACTTTCTTTGTGGTCCCAAAAGCATATTCCCAGTTTTTTGGGAGCTGAAGATGGGCCCTCCTCTTCCTGCCAGGGGTCTTCCGCATTTTCCCCCCCTTGGTCCTTGAATCCCCAGTGTGCAAACCTCCTTTCCCCGTCCAGGGGAGGAATTGTTAGCCCAACAGCCCAGCCCCAGCTTGGCATACAGAAGAGCTCGTTGTTTAATACCTCGGCGAAGACTCCTGGTTGGGGTGTGCTGGGAGAGGTTGGCCGCTTTTGCTGTCTCTCTTGCCCCAAAGGCTGTTGGGGGCCTTCTCTCCCATGAATGTTTATCATCCCCCTTTAAAGGCATCCAGATCAATGACCACCACTGCATCTGGGGGTAGGACATCTCACGGGAGCGCTGCGGTTCATGCAGGAGCCCTTTATTTTACCTGTCCTAAATCTCCCACCAGCCAGCTGTGTAGGGTGATGTGACCGCCCCGCCGCCCGGCTTTAATTTCTCGCAGCGCCCCGTCCGCTTTCACCACGCCAGGCATCGTTTCTCGCAGCCCCTGCTGCTCTTTCCCAAGCTGAGCATCCCTGACGTTGTGCTCTTTCTGCCCAGTGACACTGGCTCCCCTTTTCTGATTGGAGGCCTCACGGGTTCCATCTGATTTGTTTAGGCCCTGAAGAAATTGACCCAGATGCAGAACCTCGTCGCTTCCATGGTCTCTGGGGTCGCACCTGCCTCCCGGAGCCGCACCAGCCCCCAGCCTCTCGTGCTTGACGTTCTTTGCCTCCTCTTGGAGATTATCTCGCCCAAGCTGAGACCGGTATGGGGTCCCTCCACAGGGGGGTGGGGGGGAATACTTCTTGGGGCAGGACCACTTGTATCAGCAGCGGGGGCAGTGAAGAAAGGGATGGCTCAGGAGCCGTGTGCCAAGAGCTGCGCCTTCCGTGGCGTGCAAAGCCCCCGCAAGCTCTGCCGCTGAAGGCAGTGCGGTGCAGTGCAGTTTCTCGCCATCATAAGGTTTTGTGTGTGGCTCTTCCTTGTGTCACACTGGGGTGGCAAGCCTGCCTCTGCCTGCACCAGTTCATCCTGCAGGCTGGGGCTTGCAGGCAGCATTTTTTCCGGAAAGAAAAGTTCCCCACTCACAGAAAGGCAGCATTTCAAGAAGAAAGTGGCAGTATACCCCTTTCCCTGACATTCCAGGTTTCTGCATGCGTGGAAATGGAAGAGCATTCAGTCAAGTTAAGCCTTTGCCTACAGTGTTCCAGCCCCAAGACCAGCTTCCTATCTCAGTAAGACCACTTGAAGTGGTCCATCCTGTCTGAGTGACAACCAGACCAAAAATACTCCACGTGTCATGTGGCACGCTGAAAACTGGTCCAGCATTTCTGCCAGTCTGCGGCTTCTCTGGGGTGGGTTCAGGGAGTGCACGGCTGTGCAGACCAGTGCAGATCTTCCTTCCTTCCTTCTCTCCCTCCCTCACCCTTTTTATCCCAGAGGCTTTCGGTGCTGGCATCTGCTGCCCTTCCAGTTCCTTTCCCTGCCAATTCAGAAAGGGGGGGGGCAGCACGGAGCCCCACCTTGCTCTGCAGCGTGGAGTTGGGCTGGCCTGCCAGAGCGACTTGGAGCTCTTGGCTCTGTGGGCAGCGCTTATACGGTTCATGTGAAGTGCATGGATCGGATTGGATTCACGCACATCTGTCCTACCGAGAATTGTTGCTCAGAGTGGCTTAACAAAATGTAAAATTAAAAGATAGTTAAAACGAGCGTGAAAAAATTAAAGCATAACTTAAAAGCACAATAACAGAAGGAAAAATCAGATATTTGATGCATGAAGAACTTTTTGCATCACTCGGGGGCTGGTCATTTAGTTGTGCTGTCTGAGTAACACAGGAGTTGGAGTTGGCTGCACCTGGAGAGCCCTGTCTTGGGAAGCTGCCTGGCAGTAAGAGCATTTCTCAGTGGACTGCCTGGCTCTCTCTAGAGACTCAAGGACCTGCCGACAGTGTCACTGCGCCATGGCTGGGTCCAGGTAAAGCAGTAGCCCACCCATAGGGGTTGACTGTGGATTGTTGCTGAACTGTGGGGTATCTTTTCCGAATGCAACCGTGCTCACAAACCATTTTTTTTAACTTCAGCTGAGTTTGGGCAGCATGGTTTTCAGCAAGAATGCACACCAACCCTTCTATAAGTACCGCAAAGGCTGTTCCAAAGAGGAAGAGCAAGGTCTCTCCTTGCTGACACCAGAGTGCAGGACACGGAATAATCAAGTCAAGGTGCAACAGCCCAGCCTGGAATAATCAAGTCAAGGTGCAACAGCCCAGATTCAGGCTGGACATCAGGAAGAGCTGCCTCACTGTCAGAGCAATTCAGCAGTGGAACCAGCTGCCTAGGGAGATGGTGGGCTCTCGCACACTAGAGGCATTCGGAAAGAAACTGGGCAGCCATCTGGATGGGATGATGCAGCTGGTTTCCTGCAACAGCAGGGGGCTGGACCCGATCATGGCCCCTCCCAACTCTGATGTCCTATGATTCTGTGATTCACTTAACCTTTGAATGTGGGTTCTCATGTCATCTGAACGCACCAGTTCCCACTTGGTCAGCAGACACCTGCTGCAGACAAGCATTTTCCCCTCTTGGCTGCAAGATCTTGGCTGGGGGATGCTAGGAGTTGTAGTCCAGCATGTGGGGAGGGTGCCAGCCTGTCTCTGCCCACTGCCCAGCCGCAGGCCTGCTGCGCCCCTGGCACCGCAGAACATTCTGTTGCCAACCGCGTCGTGTGCACAGGGTGAGCTTCACCCGTCCGGCTTCCCGGCTTGCGCTGCAGTGCTGCTCTCCTGCCTGGGCTGGTGCTGCCTGGAGGAGCAGGCTCTCGGGAGCAAGCGAGGCGTCCCGTCCTTGCCCAGTGCACGTGGGGGGAGAGTGGGGCCTCGGAACGAGGAGAATTGCTTGCGCTGCCATTCTGATAGGATCAGGGGACTGAGCGGTTTCCTGCGTACTAGAGAAAGGGAAGTGATCTGGAGCAGGAGCGGCCTTCTGGGGAAGGAAGGGCTGTGTCCATGGGAGGTGCCTATGCCGGCTGCACCCACCTCCCCGTAGCGTCTTCCGGGGGCTGATGGGACTGCAGTGGGGAGAATGGGAAGGGAAGCCTGCTTCTGCCAGCCAGGTTTCTGCCCTCTGGGCCAAACCAGTCCCCTGTGTTAGGCCCGCCGGCCGTAATGCCCCCCTGCGCGCCAGCAGCATGGGGAGGCCAGGCAGGCCTGTTCGCACCCCTGACACCGCTCTCGGCCCACAGGTGAACACGCAGCTGTACAGCCAGAAGGAGAAGCAGCAGCTGGCCAACCTGATCGCCACCATGCTGGCCTATAATCTCACCTACCACCAGCAGCGGACCCCCGACGGGCAGTACATCTACACGCTGGACCCGTGAGTGCCTCAAGGTCGTCCTGCTTGCTTGACCTGCTCCAGGCGTTAGTATGTAGAAATCAGCTTTATAGTCCTGCTTTTTCCGCACATTTTGCTGGTCGTGAGACTTAAGGATGCAAAAGCCATTGCCAGCATGGGAAATCTCACTCTGCGACCTTCTCCTTGGTGTCGGAGGTTTTCACAGGCATGGCCAAAGTGCTTTTTAGCATTGCTGTGCAGCCTTGAGGGCTAGAAACTTTGTTCACAATGGAAATGGATTCCAGGAAGCAGGATTCTGCAGTCTTAATTGTGTTCTGTGCGCTTTTGGTGCTTTTGTGGAATCATCACCTTTGCACTGTGCTGGCGTTCGTCATACAGTCTGTTATGTTTTCTGGCCTGGCACGACAGAGCTTCTGTTTCTGAGCTGAAATCTCATTACCAGTCCTAAGGGATTAGTGGGTTTTGTAGAAAATTGCTGAGATGCAACATTTAATCTCCTTCTGCTGTTTTGACCTTGAGTATCTCTGAAATCAGCACCCAAAAAACCCCAGAATGCTCCTGGCAGCATGCCCCTTCCTCTGCTTTTATTTTTCATTTTTCACTGGTTTTGACAAAGCTATGTATCCGGTGGTCTTGTCAGAAAAGACCACACAGCGCCAGTGAGGGGTGGCGTTAGGCAGCCATGTGATGCAAGATAATCAGGGCAGAGGAGAGAGATTTGAGGCTTCAGCTAAGCTCTCTTATCCCTTGGCCAAAGGCTCTGGAAACGAATGCATGGTCTTCAGGCCCTCCCTGAACGGGCAGTGAAGATGTCCCTTCCCTCTCAGTGGGTCAACTTTCAGCACATGGCTCCTTCCTCCCTCCCACCTCTGCCCCGTGAGCCCTGACTTTCCCTCTCTACTGAAGAAGTCGAACTTGATCCTTGATCCAGGTGTTGTTGCCGTTCCCTGTGGACAGTGGCACGCACAGGCAACCTTTCTGCGTTGCTCCTGGCCCGTTTGCAGGAGGGTGGCGGATCCTGTAGCCCTTTCCCCTCCCAGTTCCCATCCTGCTGCTTGTAGCATAGAAGTGCCATGAGGAAGGTGGCCGCCATCAGGCCTGCACGGTCCCCGACTGCATGCGGCAAGCACAGGTGGCCTTCGGGGGACTTGGGAGGTGCGCTTTGCAGAGCCCGGTTGGCGTTTTCCCTGGTTCGCAAGTGGCCGACATACGAATGTGGGGGAGGCACGGTGCAAACCTGTCTGTGCGCCTGCAGATTCTGCAGGCGTGCTTGCAAGAGCTCTTGAGTGATGGATGTGGGGGACCTTGGAGCATCTCCCCCCATCCCATTGTGGGAGTCTCATCCCAAGGATGGGGGAGGGTGGAGCAAGCAGCCGTGCCAGGTCTCCTGCTGCCCGAGTGGGAGAGCACGTGCATCCGGCAGCCCCCAAGGGGGCCTCAGTTCCCTTGAGCATCCTTTGAAGGGCCTCCCGGTGCAGGCCAGAGGTGGCTGGGCGCCCAGGAGAGCCGAGGGGGCTCCCCGCAAGGCTGGTGCTGTGCCACTTCTTCCCACTGGTGCCGCTCGCCAGAGAGCCCGGCTGCCCTCCAGCTCTTCCTGAGAGGATCCGTGATGCGCACGAGAGGCGGCTGGCGGAGGGCAGCCGTCCAGCCCTTTCCTCCCTGTAGGGCTCCGTGAGAGCCGAGTGCCGAGGCTGCCCGCTCGCCCCCTGCATCCGCACACGGTGGGCTGCATGGCCGTTGCGGCCGCTGCTCAGGATGTGCGCCCGCCTGGTCGCGTGGAGGCTGCCCCTGCCTCCGTTTGGGGGACCGGGTCTAGCGGGCTGGTGCCAGAACCACGACGCAGACTCCTCCCCTCCTCTCCCCCTCCTTTCCGAAGCCTGGCCTGGCAACTGTGTGCCCTGTTTTTCTCATCAGGGCCCACGCACGCACGCACGCACGCCCCGCGTCCTCCAGTGCCCGACCCTGGCCTGGTGCATTCCTCTTCAAGTGACAGATCTCGCTGCCCTTCTGCAGAACGGTGCCCGAGGTTAATACTCTTGCGGATGTTGCTTTGTACCAAATCCCATGCACTCATTCAGGGAGCTTTAGAGGCTGGCGTGTGTTCAGGCAGCTGCATCCGGCCCTTGCATAGCACTGGACTGCCGCCTCTTTCCAGGAATATATGTCCCCGTGTCTGACATCTCCTCCGCTCCTCCGCGTCTTGTCTTCCGTCTGCTGCTTGAGAAGTGTGGGTCCCCTCCCAGGAGAAGCCCTGCGAGGCTCCTGTCTCAGCCTCCCGCCGAGAGGCTCGCTGGGCACGCTCCCTCCACTTGAGCCCTCATCTGGCCTCGCGCCAGACCAAGATTGCCGGCTGTAATCAGATTACGGGCGTGAGAGCGGCTGCCTTTTGGCTTTTGACAGAGCGGCGCAAGGAAGCCGAAGACGCGTCCAGTTCCCGGGTGCCCGGCAGGCTGCTAGAATGCCAGTCGGCCCGCTGCTCCTATGTTCCAAGCTCGCTGTCAGGAGACTCTGTTCATTACTGACTGGGGGGTCCCACTGGCCGTGGCCCTCCTGCTCCTGGGCTTAATCTACCTCTTCATCTACCTGCCGGCCAGCCTGCAGCAGTCCTCCGCGGACGACCTGGCGGGGAATGTCTCCCGCCTGCATGGCCACAGGGGCTTGGGCTTCGTCAAGCAGTGAGGGCCTGGGTAGGGCCCGTCCTCTCACCGCAGGGACGCCACAGCGCCTTGGAGACGGCCCTTCCCTTCATCCCGCAAGGCGCTCTTCCTCAGCGGGTGTGGCAGACGTGGCACCCAGCTTGGCAAGAGCAGACTCTCCGAGGGAGCTCCTCGGCCACCGCTTCCTTGGAGCAAGCGCGCCCGTGCTGAGACGGGCTGCCTCCTCCCGCCTGCGCGCCCCGGTGCCCTCCCCGCCGGCTGGCCAAGTTGGGATCATCAGGACAGCACAACAGCGAAGGCGCAGCTTTGGCGAAGCGGCTCAGCATGGCACCCTCTGCAGGGACGGCTGCGTGAGTGTGCCTAGGGACGCATCTGCCTTTGACGGAGGGGGCCGGTGGCACTCCCGCAAGGAGCTGGCTGGCTCTCCTCTGTCCTGGGAAGTGCTGGAACGAGAGCAAGATGGCCCGCGCTGGTGGGCACTGGCTTTTTCTCTTCGCAGAGGGAGCACTTCCCGCCTCGGCGCTCCACAACTGAAATGGAGACGACAGGTTGTGCTTTGCGTGCATTTCCTTGAGCCGAGCGTATAATAATACTTGTTGAAGCATCGGCAGGGCTACGGCTTTAGCGCGTCCGCCAAGCAGCTGCAGACCCCTTCCTTTTTCCTGAGTTAAAGCTGGACCCCCGATCCTGCCATTCCTGCTGCTTAGCATGTCATCTCCCTGTCAGAAGATCGGCCTGTGCTTGGTTGTAAGTCTTGCATCTGGACGGGCCTTGCGATCAGAAGGGGAATCGGCAGGATCCCGCTGGAACGTCGCCTGACCGTTCAGGCCGGCACCCGGCAGCCTCGTTGGACATCCCTGCGCTGTTTGCAGAGGGACCGAATTTGGTTTGCTCCCGGTCCACTGCCCTGCAGAGCCTCGGCGGAAGCAAGTCAGCACATCCATCCAGTCCGGCAGCCTCGGAGCCACTTCGGGCCCCGGAGCCCCTCCAGCTGTTGCCATCGACTGTGGCACAATAGTTTGCAAGCTGCTGGAGCCCCCCCACCCCCACCTGCAATCCTCTAGGTGTGCTGATGTGGACTGCCCGCTGTGTATCCTAAACAGGGTGCCCACAGCGGAAACATGATGTCTCAGAAAAAGATGCGGGTTTGGTTTTGCTTAGCCCGCATCGATTATGAAATGCTCATACTTGGTTGATATTTGGCTCATCCAGTTTCTGCCCATGTACTAGATTGTCTTGACCATCTCTTTCTGTTTCATGTGGATTAGGGTCTAGGAACATAGCTTTGTGAGCTTGTTTTTATTTAATTATTAAACACCACCATGGCAAGTTTCTATCTCAGGATGCGCAAATAATCACAAAACGTGTCTGCATCTGCGCAACATTCCCAAAGTAATGGTAAGGTGTGAGCTGCCCAGAGCATCTGATTCCAAACATGTGCTCCACTCCAAAGGTCCCCCGCTTTCTCCTCCCTTACCCGTGCCTGCTCTTCCCAGGCTCCCCCTCCGGAACGCCTCCACGTGCTGCATTCAGTCAGTGCTGGGGCCACACACCAGTGGATGTGTGACTTTATGTCGAGGGAAGCTTTTGAATGGCGCCTGACGTGCAGCCTCATCAGTCTGCGCTTAATGCATCTCCAGGCAGGAGTCCCCCTTTTCCGGGAGTTCGTGCCCCTGAGCAAGGCAGCCTGGGCAGCTCCGAGTCTTTACAAGGGCCGAGTTTGCGGTGGAGCAGGACAGCTGGGCTCGGCCACCCGCGGGGGCTGCGCTGTTCTCCCTGCGGCACAGTTGTCAGCCCAGCATTTTCGTGTCTCCCGTTTTCCCCGGCTGCGGCTCTCTGCTAGAAAGCAACCCTAGGAAATCAGTATCAGAACATTAAGTGGCATAAACAGCAGATGAGCGTTCTCGTAGGGTTGCTGCTCTAGTAGTTTCCTTTGTTACTTGGCTCCACCTAAACTTCCACCAGTGCAGGATGGTTAAATGCAGTTTTTAAAGCTTCCAGTTACGGGGCAGTTTGTGTGTGTGTGTGAAAGAGAGAGAGAGAGAATATATGTGTTCATTTATTTATATGGATCAGGTTAAAAAAAACAGGGAGAAAAATTGCAGTGGCCTGTTCTAAGCAGGGTCTGAAGAGCAGGTTCTCATGGACCCCACCTGAAGACCAGAAGTGACTCCTTCCCGGGCTCACGGGGCAGATTCTGCATAGTCCCAGTGAAAAAGTAATGTGCTCGCTGAGACCCGGCAGCATCGGACCAGGAGAGTCCTTCCCGTCTCGAGGCCCCTCCATGGGAGAGTCTCGGCATAAGGTGGCGCTTGGCTCCAAGGAGGAGTGTGGCCCTGGATCTCACCTGCCAGTGCCAAAACTAGATGGGCCGGGGCAGGCCCCTGTACGGACGGCAGGGGCTTTGGGGCTGCAGCATCCACTGGTGGGGGCGGCGCCCACGGCGTGGGGTTGCAAGCAGGTCTGCTTCCTCTCCGCTCTTCTTCCTGTGGGAGCTTTGCGCCTTTGGGGCCGTTGGGACTGTAGGGGCGCCCGGGAGTTGGAGGGTCAGCACAGGGTGGAGCTGGGATGAGAAGCAGAGGAGGTCCCACTGCTTTGCCAGCTGATGCTGAAGGCACAGAAGAAGGGGAGCCTTCGGGGCGCATTTCTAGCAGGCGGTCCTATGCCAAGCCGACCTGTCGTGATGCACCTGCTTGTCCTCCGGATGCCGGAATCCCCCAAGTGTCCCTCGCAACAAGTCAAGCTTGAGGCATGGCCACTGGTTGACGGAAACTTGCCCCCGTGCCCGATGTGCTCAAGGAAGGGTGCATTTGAGGCCATGTGTTTGGAGGCTCTTCTGGCTGAAAGCGATTAAGGATTCTGAGAGGGGTAGAAAGAAGGCTTGAGGAAATAAGAACGGTGAGAAGAAACTGAGGGGGAAGAACCTCAGCTGTCTGGCAAAAGTTCACAGTCCATCTGGCAGAGAGGCAACCACAGTGGTGGTCGAAGGAGAACTAAGGGGACAGGCAGGAAGGGTTCCTGCCAGTAATTCCTCATCTGTAGAAGTTTCCCGGAGAAGCAGACACCGTCTGTGTGATGCACAGTGACCGTGCGAATGAACTGACAGCAGTTGGGTACCATCTCTCTGCTAACTGAGTGTGTTGACTGTGCGACAAAAGTCTTAGGTCACCTGCTGCTGAAAATCAAGTTTTTGCTCTGTGTTAGCACACCTCAGATGACATTCTAAGATATTCACCAGCCAGATTCACAGGTGAAAATGTTAAAAGAGAGTTCCCCTCTCCAGTCTTAGTTTTGACACCAAAATTCCACACTTGGAAATGGCGCGTTCTCTCTTGGGACATGTTGCGTTCAAGGGTTGTATGCGTGTTCTTTGGGATTTTGTTCCAGTTTGCCTGGCACATTCGGAAAGAGATGGCATTGGTACTGAAGAAGATAGGTCCTCTTTTAATACCCATTCACCATTTGAAAAAAATGTTTTTCCCCACATATCTGCTTGAAATTACTGACAGCTAATAAACTGGCAGCGTTCAGTCAAGCTGGCTTGTGAATGTCTGTGTTATTTAATTCCATACATTATGCACGGGTAGCATCCTCTTGCACACTTATGCACAACATTTTATCTTGAAATTTCTAGTGAGGGTCATCAAATTTAAAATAGTTTGTTGTATAATAAATACAAAGCTGGAAGAAATCTAGGCAAGATGAGAATAAAGTTGATATTCTAGACTTTTTTCTTTCATGTACTTGTAAGCAACTAAATAGGTGTGAGGAGGAATTGTCAGTGATAGGATTTTGGCAAGACATCATTGCAGGCCTTTAGGAAAGAATCGCCTGTTTTCTGCAGCTTTTTCCTGGTTGCATTTCTAGACTGTTGGAATTTTTAGTTGTGGTTATGTTTTAGGTATTAGTGCTATTGCTATTGGATGGTTTTGGTTGCTGGTGCTGTTCATTGATTCTACTATTTTTTGCCAATACTGTATAAAAATTCTTTGAATGGCTTGGGAGGGCTTTTACCTCTAGACAGGACCTAGAAATGTTTAAAAATAACTAAAGTGAAACTTCAGTTTAACCGGGGTCTTCATTGCACAGTACCTGAGGTTGGGCGTGCCTGTGAGGTTTGGAAAGGAAGCTTCGGAAACTAGAATAGTGGGTCTGTGAAATCTCATATCTGCGACTGAAGAAGCCAGCCGAAATGTTGGCTGCAAAAGGCCCCGTACAGGTTTTGGTGGGGTGTGCTGCAGATCACTTTTAAGTGTTACTGTCTGCCCTGTGAGAATTGAGGAGGGATGGACAGCTTTTACAAAGACTTGTTTATGCAAAGGAAGAGTATTTCAAAAAATGGTGTCTTTCCCACAGTCCCAAAAAAGGCTCATTAGATAGAGCGACTGCATTTGTAAAAGGAGCACCCAGGCCTCGTAGAAGCATCATCAGAATTCTGTGGCAGCCCAGAGAGACAGCCGTGGCGTGCTGGGCTCACGTGCCGGGAAGCCTGGTTCCGGCTGAGCGTCAGAAAGAACCACCCGAGTGCCAGAGCAGTGCAGCAGTGGAAACAGTGACCTGGGGAGGCCACGGGCTCTCCCAGGTTCATGAGCAGCTGGACAGCCCTTGGCCGGGGGCGCTTTCACTTGGAGTGCTGCGCTAAGCAGCGGTGTGGGCCTGGCGGCCTTCCCGTGGTTAAAGCGACGTGCGTGTGAGGCAGCGTGTAGTTTCAGTGCGGCTTTGTTTCTCTTTCCTCCAATTCTGCGTCCCTAGAAACATGGAAGAAGTCTGTAGGTTCCCGGATCTCCCAGCTCGGAAGCCGCTGACCTACCAGGCGAAGCAATTAATTGCAAGAGAAATTGAAACGGAGAAGATGCGAAGGACGGAAGCCGTGCTTCAGACGCGAGGCGCCGGGCAGGTGAGCCGCGCAGCAGCCCTCCTGGCGTTCCACGCAGAGCCAGGCATCCGTGTGGGCGTTTCCATCTCGCAGGCGCACACGTGTGCTTTTGGGGTGGGACGGAGGCAGGTGAGGCCTAGGCGCCAATCCACAATCGCAAGCAGAGCCAAAATCAGTGTTTGCCTGCTGGCTGTCTCTGTTTTTCCTCAGAATGTGGCCGCAGGGGCCCTGCTCTGAATCCGGTCCTGGGGCTCAGGAGATTCAGACCGAGGGACCCACAGCTGCACTTGGGGTAAAAATGAAAGACCATGGAGTTGTGAGGTACACACACCTGTTTTATGCACACTCCGGCATGTTGTGGGGCTGAGCGTCTCGGCCGTTTATTGCTGAGCCTGCACGCAGTGAAGCTGGGCAAGGCTGTCCACAGAAAGCTGGGGAGGAAGCCAGCTGGCCCGCCGTGGTTTTCCCCGGGAGGCGCTCCTCAACAGCCTTGCAGTCCTTCCGAAGGGAATGTGAAAACGCGGCCGCCGGCCACCCCACGGGGGGATCCCAGAGTGGGCTTGCCCGGTGCTGGAGGCCGTGCCTGCAGTTCCCTGGGCAGAACGCGGCACCATCCTGGCTTCACGGTTGGCTTTGAAGCCACCGAGGGCGGTGCTCCCCGCAAGCGTCGCGCTCTCTCTGGCCCCGCTGCAGAACGGAAGCTGGCCGGCCCGCAGAGTGAGGGCAGCTCCGCATGATGCGTCTTCACCTGCGTCACGCCCAGCCCAGCTGCAGGCAAGCTGGGACTTTGCCTCCCAGGAAATGGCGTGCTGCCTCGCGGCGCCTGGGCTGTCTGGCTCGTTCCCCGCGCGGGGATCCCTTTGAATGCCCCTGTGGCAGTCAGATCCGTTGAACATTCTGCCGCAACAAAACAATCTTGCCCAAACAGGTTAACGTCCTGCGACAATCAGGACAGCTTATTGTTCTGCGACACACCAAACACTAGCCGGGTTTCAAAGGTTTTAGAAGCTAAACGCTTCCAGCCCATTTTAGCCTGGTGCCGAATAGAATAAAGCGACAGTCTTTGAAAGCAAAAGTGTCGCCTTCGATTTCCACTGGTTGGGGTGAGGGTTCAGTGCTCTGCTTTGCCCCCTGCCCTTCCCCTTGACTAACAAAGCGGGATTGTGGTGGCAAAATTAGGAAATACACAGGTTTACATAATCTGTGCAGGATGCAGAGTCAAATTTTTCTTGCTTCTGAGGCTCCTTTTTGATGGAGAGCAAAGCTGTTCTGCTAGTTGAGCAGGCTTAGAGTGCTGGATTTGATTAGCTTTGGGACAGGCCAGCTGGTCAGTGAAGAAATTAATCTGATACAGACGAAAAGGCTGGGGGGGCAGGAGTTATCGTTTCCCTCCCTTAATCCTTCCTCGCTGGCTGTTTGCTGTGGCCTGTTCTTCTCTTTTCTCCCAGGCAGCTGAAGTGGGTTCAGTCCAGAAAGACGGTGACCTGAAAAGAAGCGCTGAGGCGGCGCTGCCCAAGACCACGTTGCGGAACCACGAGCAGCGGCTCGGCCAGATTGTGAAGGGAGCCACGTTTGAGGAGAAGGTGACGGCCATGCGGGGGAGTGGCGCAGGGAGCACCACAGCGAGGGGTGCCGCGCTTGTGAGGCTGCTGCTTGCGCTCTTGCCGGGTGCTGCCTCGCGCAGCAGATGTGCAGAGCCGTGCAGAGCCGGGCCTTAGGGGTGCAATCCGGATGGGAAGCGGACTGAAACCGGTTTTAGTCCGGCTGGCAGGTTCCGTGCCCACACCCTGCCGAGGGAAAGCTGCTGTCAGGGGGAGAAAAGATGGTGTGTCACTCTGAGGGGTCTCTGAACTGAGCTCACAGCGCGGTGGGCGAAAATGGCCGACCCTTTTAACATTCTCAGTTTGCATTGAAATCAGCATTTCGGTGTTATGCTGCACAGGGATTTCCGTGCAGCGGCTCCAGCCAGGAGGCTTGGGACCCCTCTGCTGGCCTGTCAAAGCATAAAACTACCTGCTGCCTCTAGAGAAACAAGAAAGGGTCGATTCGGCACTCGCCATCCCGGCGAGGGATGACGGGGCTAACAAGAGCTTCTGCTGGCATCACCGGATTTGGGCCTCAGGGGTTAGTCCACGGGGGTTTCATGGCTTCTCTTCCTTTCCACAGCCAGAAACCGATTTCTTCGGCCGCGTACTTCACAAGAAGAAAGTGTCTCCTTCAGAAGGTATGTTTCAGAGCGAGGCAGAGCACTTCGTTAGCTGGGAGAGATGGCGCTTTAGCAGTTGAGTACAGGCATTCCTCGAGTTACAGATGTAACTAAGAACAACCCATACTTCCAAACGAGCTGCTGAACAGCCTGTTTAAATGACTGCAGAAAATCAGCATCACCACAGAGAGAGAGGAAGCAGAAGCAGAGAGAGGGAGGCCTCCAACGCAGGCCTTCCTGCCCTGTCTGTCAGAGGAGCATCTCTCCGGCATTTCCCTGCTGCAAAGAGGTGGCACTGGTGAATTTGGGCAGAGTGGGGCTAGAGTTGTTTGTGGTTTTTTCGCTTTCAAAGGGGTCCTGCACTCTGCAGATGCGGAGAGTTGGCGATGCCTGGTTCAACTTAGATACACATTTGATGAATTTCCGTTTTCTTGGGAACGGAGCTCATTCATGACCTGGGAACTGCCTGTGTGCGCAGAGTGGGTACCCTTGTGACCGTGACAGCGCTGGTTAGAACGGAAATTAGCCCATGGCGGGGCTGCGTGTTTCCAGCGCATTTTGCACCTTTGTCAGCTGCCCCTGTGTTCGAGTTGCTCCCCGGAATTAGAGCACTGAGCATTATTGTAAACATTACGAGCTTTCACATGTTATCAAAAGGTTGCTGTTGGATTAGGACTGAACTAGTCAGTCCCTAACACTGGCTGGGCTTGATGGGGTTTATGGAGTTGCAGTACAGAGTACCTGGGGGGTGCCAGGCCAGCTCCCCGAGGTCAGGGGCTGTCCTGTTGTTCCACCATCTCTCGCTTCCTTGTCCACGGCCCAGACTATGGGTGTCGCTGACCCTTTAGTTTTACCAGCTACCCGTTTCTCATTTTTTTCCCTACCAGCCAACCAGGCCTGTGAGAAAAACAGGATAGAAAAACAAACTGGGAAGGCGGTTGGACAGAGCGATGTTTGGTTCCGGTTCAATGAAGGCGTTTCCAATGCAGTTCGGAGAAATATATACATAAAGGATTTGTTCTAGTGATGAAAATGTGGACATGAAATACGGACAAGGCAGCACATGAAAAAGCAGGCCTTTAGGTCCCATGCGAGGAAGCAAGTCACTCTGGAGTTTTGTACTGAATCCTGTTTTGTAAAAAAAATGAATACTTTGAGATATGCACAGTATTGCTTTCTTTATTTCACTTATGAATCGTTCTCATGTTGGCTTGGCTTTTTTTTACTGCAAAACTATCCTACAAGGTACAAAAAAGTATTTAAAATAATTGAAAATTCATTTATAAAATGTTCCTTTACAAGTCCCAAAAAAAACCCCAACAAAAAATCTAAAGGAATACAGATGTTTAGGACAGAGAAACCAAAGGGTCGACTATGGCTCAAATCCGCATTTCTGTTCCACGCAGTGTTCGCTTCCCTCCCTTGGCACTGCAGGATCCTCTCTCTCAAAGCAGTGGCCCCCTCCCGGTCAGAGTCCCCTGGGCGATGTCTGAGCCGCGACCAGGCACCTGAGGGCTGGGCGTGCGCCCTGAAGCGCAACGCCACTGCCCCGAGGAGCCAGCCCAGCGCAAGTGGCCACTCCGGGTGAGGGCGCTGCTTCCCTCCTTCCCGCTTGGGCAGCGGCATCTCCCCGGAGGAGGCTGTGGGGTGAGCCAAGATCCCCAGGCCCTGTGGAGGGCATCTAGAAGTGGAGCAAAGCAGAATCCCACGCCCGTGACTTGTTCTCCTTTAAAGAGAGAAGAGCGTGGCTTCCAGGAAGCAAACTGACTTGCCTCTTCTTACTGCTATGAAAACGAGGCTTCCTGGGCCTGACCAGGAAAATGTAGGTGTGCATCGTTCAAGAGTTTAAACCCAGAAAAGAAATAAAGCCCCATGCCCTGGACACCAAACATTTGGGAAAGCTTGAACTTAGCCGCCAATAAGCCCCACTACAGTCACAGAAGGAGTGAGAGTGTGAATTTAGCCGTAGCGGGAAGCTAGTGAAAGCTGCATGCATCCCGTTTCCACGCAACATTGGGGTATCTCAGAAGGGAGCCATTGTCGGCTGCGGGCGGGCTACAGGATGGTGCACTTTCCCTTCTCCACCCAGGGGTTGTTCTTCATCAGCTCTGGATTCAGAAACGGGTCTTCTGGGATCCCGTCCTCTATCCACTTCAGGAATCTAAAAGGGAAGGGAAAGCAAGAGGGTCTCGCCTCAGGATCAGACCGGCATGGCTAAGAGTGTTTGTGTAGCCAGACGTCTCGACTGGAAAAGGTGTGACAGCTTAGGATTTCGTTTCAAGCCCTTTCAATAATTCGGTCAGACAGTACCCCAGAAATCCCAGGCTTTGGGAACGGCTCGTCTGCCTTGCGGCCGCGGCCCCCTCACAGAGAAGCCTCAGCCTCCCGTGTCCTCGGCGGGAGTGCCCAGCACAGTGGGGTCACCCCTTGGACTGCCAGGCCGAAACCCCGGAAGCCATGAGGGGCAGGGGCAGCGTGGCTCCAGAACCTCCATCCCTGCTCTGTGCGGCTCCTCCCCGCCCACAGCTAACGGAAGCAGAACGAACGTTTCGTACGGTGTCAGATGTATTTGAGTTTACATAACATACAGCGTACAACACAGAATGGCCTTCTCGTTGACTTAGGAAAGGCTAAAGCATTGGGGAGTTTCAGTTTCGGGGACGGGGGAAGATCAGGATGGAAGAAAACTACGAATTGCACGGTAGAGAGGTTTCTTGGGGTGAGGTGGGTGGGCCGAAGGAAAAGACCTCACAGTGCATAGGATGGCGGCGGAGCAGAGGCTCAGGAGCCGCAATCAGCTCTTGGAGTTTATTTTGTGGCTCGCCTCTGTGGGAACCCCTGGGCACCCACCTGCCGCACACTGCCCATCGCTGCTGCCCGCGGGCGCCCACTTGCCGCTAAGCCCTCTAAGCCGACAGCCTCCAAAGGGACTAGACGAGCAGTGCTTCCCCACGAAGCGTTTCCCCCGGCTGGCCGCACCTGCTCCGTTACAGGGCTGCCAGCCAAAGGGCTGCTGGCACATGCCCAGAAGGTCTCCGCAGCCACTCCGCCGTGCTCTTAGCGGGGTCTTCCGCATCAAGAGGGAAAGGTGAGAAGACCCGAGGGTCACTGGGTCAGATCTGGAGCACTCACAATGTCCCTGAACAGGGCAGGGCAGCAACGCCATGAAGGCCTCATCTGGAAGCACCGGGTCCTGCGGTCCTGCTGAAGGGGCAGTTGTCCCGCAGGCCTTCTGACCTGCGGCCACGGAAAATGCAGCAGAACAGGAGCACGTCTCTGCCGGCGCTCTTCTGGTTTTGTGGCCCTGGGTACGCTAACTGCGCACCACACCGTCCTGCAGTGGTGCATCTTCAGTAATGCGCCATCGTTTCATCAGAGGGGGGTAATTTTTAAGCGATCATTTAATTTGTACTGATTTTTCAATAAAATGAATAATTATGCAATAGCGCTTAAGTGGATTCATACAAAGTTTTCCACCTTGACCTCCACCGATTTCTGTGTTGTCTGCACGGCCAGGAGCTCGCTGGTGCTTCATGGACCTTGTGCAGGCAAAGGAGCTACTCTGCTGCTCAGATCTGCCCTGTACCTTATTCTTTCTCGATGCTTTGGGGAAGGCAAAGCCCTGGACAAGAGCACTGAAAATCCATCCCTGGCAATCCCACTAAGACCCAGTGCTGGTGAATCGATTGCACTCGCCCCGCTAACGTTTGCACTTGCCGGTGCAGCACGTCATTAGGGATTTTAGGCAGCGAGTCCCAGTACACAGGGCACGCGAGGGGCGGCAGCACCGCCTGCGCGAGGGGAGGAAGCAGGTAGTGGACTCACTCCGGGATCGTTTTGGAAGACATCTCCCGCTTGTACGCCAGCTGGTACTTCAGGCTTTCCACTTCCTTTTTCCACTGGGGGGCTTCCCATTCATCCATGGAGGCCTGGGTCAGCGCTGGTCCTGGTCCTGGTCCTGGTCCTGGTCAAGGAAAGGTGGGTGTCCGCCTAGGCTGGAAAGCGAGGACAGCGGTGGTGAGCCGTTTGGAGCAGGCCTCGTGCCGCCTGCCCGCCCGCCACGGCTGCAGCAGGCCTCTCCCTGCACTCGCCTAGCTCTGCCCCCCTCTTCCCTTCTGCTGGTTGCAGGAAGCCCATTTCGGCAGTGCAGGAGGAGGTGCAGGGTCAGCGGAAGGCGGTGCGAGTGGGGGGCCCTCCAAGCCAGGCCGCTGGGGCGGGAAGCAGCTCTGGGGCATTTTGCCACTGGCTGGTTGGGGTGGATTTGCAGCCGGCTGCATGGGTGCCAGGCCATCGCTGCAACCGAAAATTAAGCATCTGCAATGCAAGCTACGAACATCTACTCGTGTACCAGGAATGCCCTGGGCAGCGTTCCGGGCTGGGTCAGGCCGGGCCCTCCTGCAGAATGCGTGTTCCACTTGGCACCCATTCTCTGTTTCTTCCAACGTGCAACGTCCCAGGTCATGAAATGTGCGTAAGCCACACTGGGCTGCATCTGTCCCCTCCCCTCTTTTTCCCCAAAGGTCTCCTAGCTCTCCAGCCCTCAAAAGTTCCTCTGAGCAAGCCTCTTCTACTTGAAGATGTTAATCGCTGCACTTGGCTTTCTGCTTTTCTGCGCTGTGATCCCTAGGTGACACTGGGATAATGGAATACGCAAGTGAAACCCAGTTCTCTTTCGCTTGTACCAATACCTTATTTTCCCTGCTCCATCAAAAGTGTTCTTTAAGTGCAAACACAAACTGGAGGTCACAGCAGCGTCTAAAGAATCCATAAGCAATTGTGGGTAGCGAATGATTGGCGCACAAGGAATGCTCTGTCTGGAAAGGCCTTCCGCTATCTTTCTTTGGCTAGAATCCTCAGTACTCGCGACCTTCTAGAGGGAGAGGTTCTAGAACAAGAAAGGCTTCAACTGGTTGTCACTACGGTTGCCAAATGAGCAAATAAACCAGCCAGCCTTGCTTTCGTGTTGCTGAGTTCACCCGCCGAAGGCCTCCGCCATGTGGAAGTAAAGCATTTTTGCCTGCTAAACTTTACACATCATAATGTCAGAGGCAGAGCTACAGGGACTGGCTGAAAGGCTGGCAAGGCGACTGTTGCCGCAGCAATTGGCTCAGTTAGGGATTCCTCTGTTCTTGGATGCCAAGCAGGGCTTTTCCCACCATGCTTGGGCAGCATCTCACGAGGCACATGGCCCTGGGTGTGGCTGATCTGCCCCAGCGAAGGTGACTCCAGAGCCAGAGCCCCAGAGCCAGAGCAGCTGCCTCAAGGGAGGAGCGGGGGAGCGGGCTAGGGTGGGGTGGCCAAGCAGGGGCTGCCCATGGCCCCCTTGCCGGGCAGAGGCCACCCTTCCCACGCTGCTGCCTGAGGCCCGCACAGCAGCCCATGTCACGGTAGAGCAGCCTGGGGAAAGCAGTGGGGGCGTTTGCTGGGGGCTGCAGGCAGGAAGGGCTGCGTGCACCTTACAGAACGGCACAGCTTCTGCCTCAAGAAACGGAGCACACATTGCGTCGGTTGAGCCACTCGTTTGCATGGCTTTAAACTGTATCGAAGCCAGTCATGGGGCAAGGAGATGCCTCCGTCCCGGAAAGCCAGACTGCTGGTCACTGGGTGACATTTCAGTCCTGAAGGGCACGGAAATCTCGGAAATTGGTCTTCGTAACCCTCGGGACTGGGAACAGATGTATTTTTCCAAAGCAAAAGCTGGCATTCTCAGGAGCTGGAACATGGCTTTTGCGAAGCTTGCAGAGACGTGCAGCTTGCCCGCAGCGCTGGTCAAAGTGCCCTTTCCCCTCCCAGTTGCGTGTGCACAGCAGCCCCCTGGCAGGCCTGAGCTGCCGCCTGGCAGTGCCAGACCCATTGTCTTGACTCTGGGGGCTGGTGCTACCTGAAGATCCCATTCCACCCCCGCCCCCGAACATCTTGTATCCAATCCATGTTCCAAAGGCTTCTCTCCGCACGGCACGTAGGCTTCAGGGCTGGGCCTAGGAGAAAGCGATGCGCTAGCCCCATGATTTGCATCATTTAGCTTAGGGCATTAGCGTTTGACTAACAAATCCTTCCAAATGCAGCTGGGGGTGCCGGGGGGTGGCGGGGAGCAAGCAGCTGTTGTTGACCTAATGGAAAGGCAAGGTTTAATCCGGATGCAAATGGATGTTTTGGCAGGGCTGTGCCAGCTCACCAGGTTTCCCCTCCCCAGAACGATCATCTTCTCTGCCCTCGGGGCTGACCCTGCACCCGCATTGGCTCGACCCGTTTGCTGGGGGTCAGCAGGTCCCCGGCTGGCCGGCCGGCCGGAGGACACGCGCCCGACAGGGGGTCCCTCTGGCAAGCGCTCGGCAAGCGCTCGGGGGCTGCTGTTCTCGCCCCCACAGCCACCGGCTTGCTCGCCGCCTGCTCCCTGGCCCGGGCGACGGGGCCCTGCCGACCGGCTCGCCCATCTGTCACTCCTGCCTTGCTCCTACGGCACAGTGCGACTGGGGAGCCTCCTCCGTGGGATGGCAGCCGGTCCCCCTTCACCAACCCGCACGCCGCCCTGAGAAGCACGAAGGGATGCTCACGGGCAACCGCAGCAGCTGGCTCCTCTTTGAGCTGCCTGCAGATACTGCAGGAGGTGCTCTGGGGAGGGGGGGCTGCCACGGAGACCACCCTTCCCCGGGTTCAAGGCCCTTGCCTTCAGGCCACCTGGGCTGATTCCGCAAGAGCCCTCCCCGCACAGAGGTGAGGCAGGCGCCCAAAAGAAGGCACGACTATCTGGAGAAGACACTCATGCCCGGGAAGGTGAAGGCAGCAGGAACTATGAGTTGGGTTTGGTCCAGAGAGGAAGCCACAGCCTTCAGTTTCCCAAGCAGAGTCCCTCCATGTAGAAAATTAGTCGCTCAGCTGAAAGGGAGCCTAGAACCCTACGCCTGCTAGCCAGCTTTCCATGTGCGGCGATTCATGGACTGATTTTCCAACAGAGGCTCGCTCAGTCCTGTCGGGCTCTAACTGCTGCTCAGCCCCTGCATCAGCCGGGCAAGTAACACCATGCACCTGAATGGGGCTTCTTTCCTGCTGAAGCAGGCACAGCATTGCACCCCGGATGGTAGTGAAGGCCGGGGGGGCATCCGGATCTCATCATGCCCAGAGGAGGCCACGGAAAGCAAGTGAGTCAGGCCAAGGTGGATCCAGCCTGGCACGAGGCATCACTGAGCTCCGCCATTCTACAGAATTGTGTCAGAGCCCCCTAGCTCTGACCATGTGGGACAGGAGGCCACACATGTCCATCCAGTCCGTCCACCACCTCAGGCCAAGGGGCAGCCTGGTCCCCAGTGGGGGCATCCTCCTGGGCTGGACTTGCCAACAAGCATCTCTCGGGAGACAAGGAGGGCGTCCAGCTGGAAGCGCAACGTGCCTGAGGGCTCGATTAGCGCTCACCTGCACTGTGTCCAGGCTGCCCCGGAGAGGCTCTGTGGCCAGAGCCCCTTTACGGGAGGAATGTTCAGGTGCAGGGTTCCTTCTGCACAGCCACACCTGTGTCACCTTCCTGAAAAGGAGCCCATGGCGAAGCTTCGCAGGCTCAGACTGCCGGTTGTGCTATTCCAGTATTGACCGGGTTGGCACAACATGACAATTCAAGCTGCTTATGTCCGATGACCTAGGGTGGTCACCCTGGTGTGGAAATCCAGGCCAATCCTGCAGGGAGGCTTGTTTGAGGGCAGCAAAGCACCCTGACAACCTATGGCTTGTTCTGGGGTGGTTGTGCCCACAGTGGGTTGTCGTGCTGTCTAGACCTGGACAATGGACCAGGCTGCTGCAGGTTGGCTGCTGGCTCACATCAATTTTAGATCCCTGGAAGTGTTTAGAGATGCAACAAACTAAAAATAGTTGCTCTACAGCAGCTCCCAATGAGTGCATTGCCTATGGAGTACGTGTGACAACCAGTCCGCCATATTTTATGGCCAAGATGGGTTCCTGTGACCTTCCGGATGTGCCCGTTGTCTGCTCTGATCGGCAGCGGCCCTTTCAGGTCTGAGGTGTGGAATCTGTTCTCAGCTCTCCTCTTTACTTAGAGCTGCTTAGAACTCAAATTGGCTCCACTTGATGCATTTTCATACGTGTAAATTCTCACTGAGCTGAAGCCTGTAACTCCAGCAAGGGCAAGCAGTGACTTCCAAGCATGCCCCACCGACTCCACGGCAGGAGGTCTGGCTCTCCTTGGTAGCTTCCCCATGTCTCTTGGCCAGCTTTGGCCGAGATTTGCTGCTGAGGCCCCCGATGCCGAATCGTTCAGGGAAGCGGCGCTGAGCCAAGACTTCCTGCAGGGTGCGAACAGCGCCCTTCCCCTAAGGCAGAGGGGCAGACGGCTCTCGGGCCACGGACCAAAGGGTCTCCACGGGCCACATGCAGCAGCACCCACCCTCCTCGTTGCCTTGTCTCAGCCCCTCTGCTCTCCCCGTGCTCTCCTGCAGGCTGGAGAAAGGGCCCGCCGGCAGGCCCCAGCCGAGAGCCCAGCCTGTGGCACTGGAAGGGTGGAAGGGCATAGCGGCACTGAGGGGGCATGGACACTGCCCGCTTCCTTAACGACACGTGAGCTTTCCACCAGTATCTCAGAGAGGCCATCTGCTCTCGGGCGTGGCAGTACTGACTGATTGCTTCATTAAAGGCAGGTGACCTGTCAACCTGTTCAATTGACTGATTGCAAAGAGATGTTATCATCTAAATTGGAGCTAAGTCTTAATGGCCACTGGGAGGGCAGGTATCCTGATGTGTTTATTCCCAGGGCACCCATTAGTCAGGAAACCCCAGAAGGAGGGCAAGTGTGCCAGGGATTGTTTCTGGAGTCTAAAACCATGCAGAAGTTCAGGCAAATGGAGAGCCCTCAGGGCCTTTTCAAAAGAAATCTTAGCTCCTGATTTTCGGTGTGAAGTAAGGAGCTGATGCTTGTTCT